GTTAATGGGAAACTGCAGGTGATAGATTAAGGACCCAAGTCCCTGCTGCCCACATGGGAGACCCGGATGGAGTTCTGGCTGCTGGCTTCAGCCTGACTCAGCCCCAGCTGTCTTGGGCATTTGAAGAGTGAGTCAGTAGCTGGGAGATTGTTCTCTCTTGCTGCTTTCTTTTCAAGATTTATTTAATTTTATTGGAAAGTCAGATATACAGAGAAGAGGAGAGACAGGAAGATCTTCCGGCCGATGATTCACTCCCCAAGTGGCCACAACAGCCAGAGCTGAGCTGATCCAAAGCCAGGAACCAGGAGCTTCTTCCAGGTCTCCCATACAGGTGCAGGGTCCCAAGGCGTTGGGCTGTCTTCGACTGCCTTCCCAGGCCACAAGCAGGGAGCTGGATGGGAAGCAGGGCCTCTGGGATTAGAACCGACAACCATATGGGATCCCAGGCGTGCAGGGCGAGGACTTTAACAACTACGCTATCGCACCGGGCCCTCTTGCTGCCTTGCAAATAAACAAAACTTGTATAAGCCATGTGACCTGCCAAACTTGAAGAAATGGCTGAGTCTCTTATACTTGGCCACTACAGGGCTGGAATTCCAATCCAGGTCTCTGGGCTCCCAAACACAGCTTTTCCCTCCAGTCCAGTGTTTTTCAAACTTGGACTTGGGAGTTTCTGCAAATATGTATTCCAAATATATTAAAAACCAGAATATGTGTGTTCTCTTGTGATTAAGACAGTGCCCTGTTCCCCCATGGAGTGCCCAACTTGGACTCCGTGTTCCAGTTTCCTGCTAATACAGACCCCGAAGGTAGCTGTGACAGCTGAGGTACCTTGGTCGTTTCCCACATGGGAAGTCTTATTGAATTTCCAATTCTGGGCTCTGGCCCAGTCCAGGTCATTGCAGACATTTGGGGGATTAATTTAGCAGTTGGGAGAATGCACTCTTTCAAATAAATTAAAAACTATGTTTTTTTAAGATTTATTTATGTTTATTGGAAGGTCAGACATACAGAGAGGAGGAGAGACAGAGAGGTAGATCTCTGGTCCATTGATTCACCCCCGAAGTGGCCGTGATGGTCGCAGCTAAGCAAATCTGAAACCAGGAACCCCCTCCCGGTCTCCCACGCGGGTGCAGGGTCCCAAGGCTCTGGGTTGTCTTCGACTGCTTTCCCGGGCCACAGGCAGGGAGCTGGATGGGATGCGGGGCTGCCGGGATTAGAACCAGCGCCCATATGGGATCCTGGGTGTGCAGGGCATGGATTTTAGCTACAGGCCACCGCGATGGGCCCTAAAAACTATTTTTTAAGGACTGGTTTATTTTACTTAGCCAAGAGGAGGGACATAAGTCTTTCCTGTGAGAGCCAGGAGCTTCTTCAAGATTTACCATATGTTGCATTCTAGCTGCTTTCCCAGGCCATTAGCAGGGAGGTTGATCAAAAGTGGAGCAGCCAAGACAAAAACCAGTGCCCACGGGGATGCCAGCACCATAGTCAGAGGACTGAATACCACCCATGATGGGCTGGCGCTGTGACATAGTAGAGTAAGCTTGTGTCTGCTGTTTCAGCATTCCCAGATGGGAATGGCTCCTGGCATCAGCTTATCTCTGGCTATCTGGGGAGTGAACCAGTGGATGGAGGACCTCTCTGTATATATCTGCTTTTCAAATAAAAATAAATCTTAAAAATAATGGCCACCAAGGGCCTGCCATGATAGCCTAGTGGCTAAATCTTCGCCTTGCGACCAGTGGGATCCCATATGTGTGCTGGTTCATGTCTCATTGCTCCACTTCCTATCCAGCTCCCTGCCTGTGGTCTGGGAAAGCAGTCGAGGATGGCCCAAAGCTTTGGGACCCTGCACTCGCGTGGGAGACCTGGAGGAAGTTCCTGGCTCTTGGCTTCAGGTCAGCTCAGCTCTGGCCGTTGTGGCTGCTTGGGGAGTGAACCTGCAGACGGAAGAGCTTTCTGTCTCTCCTTCTCTCTCTCTAGACCTGTCCTTCAATAAAAATTAATCTTAAAAACAACAACAAAAGCATGCCCCTCCGCATCAGGCACAGCTGCTGGGCTCTCAGGTCTCTGCTGCCTGTGTCACAGGGGTCGGTGCCCGGGGGATGCCAGCCTGGTTGCCGTGCTCACCGAGCCCAGCCACCAGTGAAGTGCTGGTTGGCTCTAACCTCTGAATGGTTCTCAGTAATTGAAGGACTGGACTACAAGCAAGTGTTGGAAATTCTATTTTTTTCAAGCCTCTATTTTTTTTTTTAAGATTTATTTTTATTATTTTCTCATTGGAAAGGCGGATATACAGAGAGGAGAGACAGAGAGGAAGCTCTTCCATCCGATGATTCACTCCCCAAGTGAGCGCAACGGCCGATACTATGCCGATCCGAAGCCAGGAGCCTCTTCCGGGTCTCCCACGCGGGTGCAGGGTCCCAAAGCTTTGGGCCGTCCTTGACTGCTTTCCCAGGCCACAGGCAGGGAGCTGGAAGGGAAGCGAGGCTGCCGGGATTAGAACTGGCGCCCATATGGGATCCTGGGCGTGCAAGGCGAGGATCTTAACCACTTGCGCCACCGCGCCGGGCCCTTTCAAGCATCTATTTAAATTTTGCCAACAAGCAGAGCCTGAAAGTTAGCTGTTTCACCACGTACAGCCACTTAGCTATGTAAAATGAGGAAATCGTGTAATCAAAATTCAGAAAACCGTGGGTGCTAAGACAGTCCACAGTGAACTCATCTGTAGTCGTAGGGAATGTTAGTTCTCTCACAGACGTTTGGAATTGAATTTTTTAATTGGAAAATCTGAGCTCTGGCCGGCACACCAGTGGGGTAATCCACGGTGCCTTCCGCCCAGAAAGCTCAGGCCGGAGGACCCGTGCTGGCCCCTTTCTCCTCTCCCGTCACTGAGGGCCACGCCAGTCCTCCCTCACAGCTGATGCCCGGCCCTGCCCAGCTCTGATACCCACCAGGGGCAGGGCAACTTCTGCTGGGTGAGGACACACTGATTCAGTACCACTGAGGCAGCGGCACGAGTCAGTGACACGCACAGCATCTCAACCTCATGGGGTACATATCCATTTTTTTTGTCAAATCTTACCACTTGGGAAGCAGCTAAAGGCCAATTTTAAATGCCAATGTAAAATTACAGTGAAAATACAATTCAAATGCAATGTGCTGTGTATCTGAATTGTGCATCACTGCTATGATGGCCCTGTAAAAGTTGACTAAAGCCTTGGATATTATAGAAAAGACCTTAACATGACAAATACAATGGCAGCATTAAAAACCTCCTAATCCCCACTTCAGAAGATGCGTTCCTTTGCCTGTAGTCACGCCCCTGCCAGAGCAGGATGGCCCCCGCACTGCCAAGCCAAGCAGGCTCCCTCAGGGTTGTGCTGGGGCCCTCATGTTCAAGTGTCCGAGGTGTACAAGTGTCACCTACTCCAGCCTGGAATTCTCACACATCCCAGCTCTGCCCTGGAGAAAGCTGTCAGTAGCCTCAGTCTCCCCCTTCCCCCCCCCCCATGTGGGACTGGAAGCTCAAGAACTGGGGCTCGGGACAGCTGCGGCTTCAAACAGGGACCACTCGGGGAAACGTGCCCCAGCACCCAGCAGTCAACCTCCTGTGGCCTCACTCATTCCAGGGAACACCCCAACTCCCGCTTGCCTATCCTAATAGCTAGACATTGATTTACAGCTCCTGGCACCGTCTCAGTCTTGCTTTAGATCTGCCACACTACTGTTGCTTTTGGCTAATGTGGAAGGTAACAGCAAATACTACCAGGGGAGAAATGTTCTGCTTGCCTCACTAGAAGACTGCAATGACTGAAGGCAACTATGTCTCTTCCTCAGACAGGCGAGGTCCTCAGGGCAAGTGGAAGATGTGAAGGATGAAGGATGTCCTGCCAGCTCAAGGCTCCGGTGAGTGCACTGCTTTACAGGGAATTCCTCCATGTAACCAGGGGAAGAAAGCTGGCCTTGCCATAGGCAAACCACACTTGTCCATGGAGACTTATCTCCCCAGGGGCACTCCAGGTCATTGATGGGTGGCATGCAAGTCTCCTTTGGCATCCTGACATGCCACTCCATAGCCCAGCTGGCACTGTGGCTGTGCCTGCCCTGAGGCCGGGCCACAAGGCCTCAGGAAAGTGACCGAGTGCAGACACTGGATGGGCCCCTCCGCCGCAGCCTGCGCCTTCTCCCCCAAGGAGAGTACGCTCCCCCAAGGACAGCACTCAGATGGCTGGCCCTACCCGAGAGCTCAAGCAATTTATGTTTGGCATGGGTACCTCCAGAAAGTGGTTGTGAAGAGGCTGTGCCCAGCCGTGAAGGCAGGTTTGGAATGGGGCCGCCCAGAGCCTGACTCACCCCAGATGGCAGGCTGGCAGTGCCAGAACTGAGGCCACTCACATGTCACCCATAGACCTGTGGGATGGGAAGGGACTTAGATTTTGCTCTAACAGCAACAACTGACCCAGTAGCAACAAGATGCCTTGAGGCCCAGGGGAGCAGACTTCACAGTATATAAGGGCAAGCAGGTGTGAGACCGCCTGTGGACATCTGGCCAGTCCATCTCCCTTTCAAGTTCTGTCCATTCTCATCTTAACCATCTGGAACCCCAAAGACCAGCAGCCTCTACCTTCCCTGCCCCCCATCATCTCCCAGGGCCCGCCCTCTGCCCTGGTGGGGGCATGCTGCCCTGGAGCCTGGAGGGAGTTGTCAGCGACTGCTGAGCAGTGACGTTCAGCTACAGGAAGCGGTGACCGAGGATGCCTGCTGGCTTTGCCCCCCCCTCCCCGCCTTTTTAGCTTGTGAGATGGATGGGGTGAAACTCTAGAGTTGGCATTGTGGTGCAGATGTTTGCCGAGATCCAGAGCTGAAAGTCACCTGTCATTTTCTTTTGCCAGAAGATCCCTGCCTCATATCCCCTACCACCACCTCTTGTCTGGGAGGAAAAGGGGTGCAGAGGATAAAAACAAAGCAAAGAATCAGAACAGGTGACCGATGGCTACCATGCGAAACACTCAACTTTATTCGCTTTATTTATATATTTAACAATTCTAAAGTATTTACTCCTTGCTTTGACAAAAAAAAAAATGAAAAATATAGGAGCACTGACTCCTCTTTAGGAGAAAAGGGTTATATGTACAACCACGGAGAGTTACAGTTCCTCCGTTACATACAAAGGAAAATATTAAAAAAGTGCTTCATTGATCAAAAAAGGGCTAAGAGCTGCAAGCATTTATTCACACTGTACATCAGACCCAAGTAACCCGTATCATAACCTCTTGGCACCTGTCACTAGGAACTGCACAACCTACGGTTAGGCCTGCTTCTCACCTGCGTCACCAGGCCACACGCACGTGGAGCAAAGCTGCTCCGCCGTGCTCCACTGCAGCGCTCAGCTGTCACCTGCTCAGGGCGCCAACAGGCCACACCATCCTCCGGCACACAGTGCCCCTGGCCAGGTCACTCATTCCAAAGGGGAAGTGGAGTCCAGGGCAGGCCAGAGTCGAAGGACTCCCTGTCCTCACTCCCAGCCCCTTGCCACTGTCTACCCTGTCACCTTTTAGCAGCTTACATGGTGCTGTGCCCTCGGGAAGGCAGGCGTAGAAACAGATGCCAACGTAAGCATGAATCCACTCCTCCCTGCCTCTCCCCCCACACCCACCTTACCACAAATACTCTTGATTTAAGGCTCTTTTTGGACTATATCAAAGCTCAGTGAGGAAAGGACCACACCATTTCCTGCAGGAACTCTGCCAAGGTGCCAGATACAGGGTCACTGAGGCAGCCAGCGGCAGGACGAGGGCTGATTGTATGGGACCTGCTCCTTTTCCCAGAGGCTTCTAACTCCTAAGGTCGATGCTGCCCTTGGAGGGGGCGATCCATGATTGGCTTGGTTGGGAAAGGGGAATTTCTGGAACCCTGAGTCTGGATTTCCCAGTGCTGGCCAAGGAGGAGAGATTATTGGGGAGACCACGCTCTGGAAGGGGCTGCCAGCTCAGGGCAGGCTCAGGCCTTGGTCGTGGCAGCAAGATACTGCATCTCGGCCAGGCTGCACTCGTGCCCGAGTATGGAGGCGCCACACGGCCCAGCCCAGGGGAGCACGGGGAGCTGGAGATACAGCCAGATTAAAAAGCAGAATCCCACAGGGCACAACACGCAGGTGACCCAGCCTCTCACTCGCCTCAGAGCAGCAGCTTGCCTTCCTTGCACAGAGGGTTCCATTTGCTGTGTGCCTCTTCCCCAAAAACAGCAGTCCTGCTTCGCTGCCTGTGAGGTGGGCCTAGCCCAGCCCCTCAGGAGGGAGACAGCAGAGATCCTAGGGCAGGTGCTGTGGTGTCACCAGCAGGGATGCGAGGTGTTGTTACCAACATTAGCAATGGCCAGCTGCTCTGCTCCCTCTCTCAAGGCCTCCACTCCAGGCCCTGGCCAGCTTCCTCCCACCCAGAAAGAACCAAGCCAGACCTCTGCAGCCCTGAAGCAGTGGCTCAGCAGTTAGAAGGGGCCTGGGAATTCTATAGACCACCCCCCGTAAAGATTAAGACAACCAGAGGACATTTTTCTTGTGTGAAGTCAGAGGATGGCAAAAGGGGTTGGGGGAGAAGAGGAAAGAATCTACAATCCAGTGGTAACATCCCAGATTTCTGTCTCTCCGTACAGGTGGATGCATGCTCCCATTCCAGAATGCACACGCCTCGCAGCTGCCCAGGCTGGGTGGGTCTCCGAGGACAGCAGCTTGGCCTGTGCCCACTCGGAGTTACTGAGCTTCAGTTTGAAGTGGCAGCAATGGGCTTATCCAGTTCAATATCAATGCTGGCACTCGTGGGGTGTAGACTGCTATAGCAAGACTTGCATACTCGACTGGGTTCAAATAACTGCTGGCTGGGAACTGGAACCTTCTGGTTGCAACAACTGGAGCAGAATACGTTCCCACAATTCCTTGAGGTGAGAAAATAAAACAGCATTAGTTTCAGCAGGCAGGTGTGGGAGCAGGAAAAACCAAGTTCAGACAGAACTTTGCTGTGTTGTTTGGATGTGCTAGAGATACTTTTGGAAGCACACACTGCTTCTCTAGCCCAGGAACAAGCCGGCAGAGTCACGTGCCTCTTACTCTGTAGCCAGGCACTTGAGACTTGTAAGGCTCGGGGTCCCGTAGTGAGGCATGAAGGATGCACTGGGACTCCTGCTCAAGACAGACGGGCGAGAACCAACAGGCCCAGTGCAGAAGCAGCTGCTAGCTCACCAACAAAGCTGGGACCCAGGCCATGGACTCTAACTTGGGATCAGAGGCCAGGGGAGCTGCTTCTGGGCCCATCAGGGGCCTGAGTTCTACCCGGGGCCACTCCCCAGAGGCTGTGGGCAGCACCAAGGACAGACTGCTGCCAGCCAAGGCTACTCCAGGCACATGTAGCTCGTGACACATGCTGACACGAACATGGCACACACTGTTAGCCACCAGTCCCTTTGGGCACACTCCCCTGCCCCATGCATCTCTGCAGAAACAGGAGACCTCCGGGAAGGCCTCAGCCCTCTCTCCTCCACAGGAAGCCTGGCACTGGCAGGGCTGCATGGTACACATCCAGCCACCAAGACCCTCAGGGCAAATGGCAGAGGGTAAGTTCTGGCTCACCTTAAAAGTACCAATCAAAGTAGACTTATGAGTCCAGCCAATCCCTGTGGGACCAAGAATAAAAAACTCCCAAGAGCCTGACAAAAACTAGGGAAAGGGGCCCAGCACGGTAGCCTAGTGGCTAGACTCTTTGCCTTAAACATGCTGGGATCCCATATGGGCACCAGTTCAAGTCCCAGCATCCCCACTTCCCATCCAGCTCCATGCTTGTGTCCTGGGAAAGCAGTGGAGGATGCCCAAGGGCTTGGGACCCTGCACTCATGTAGGAGACCCAGGGAAGCTCCCGACTCCGGATCGGCACAGCTCTGGCTGTTGCAGCCACGTGGGGAGTGAATCAGCAGATGGGAGATCTTCCTCTCTGTCTCTTCCTTTTCTGACTTTCCAATAAAAATAAACCTTAAAGAAAAAGCTAGGGAAAGGCAACTCCAGGAGATGCCTCCTTTGTAGCTGGTGGCACAAATGCGCCTTAGAATGCAGAGGCCCCCAGGATACACAAGAGAAAGCTGAAGACCATTGCTGAACAAAATTACACCCCAAAAAGCAAGGTGACACCCAGGGAGGGAGGGCAGGGTCAAACCACACCTTCTACCTCCGATTAGGAAGCGCTTCAGAACTGTTTCCTAAAAGCACCTGTCAGTCAGAACCTGTGGTTACACAGGAACACTTCATGCCACTCAACACTCCTGGGGGACTCGTTCCTTAAGTTGACCTGACAGAGGCACAGGTAAGCCTTTCTGACTGCCGGCAGGGGACCCCGAGACCCAAAGTGGAGCCTGCCTTTCTGAGGAACAGCAATTCTCTGGCAGAGCTGTAAGCTAGTCCTGGTGTGCTGAAATGCACAGTGAGGCCACTTGCCTTGGAAATTGCTGGCTTCACTCCAGCATTTCCATGAACGCCCAAGGCTGGCGCACTCAGCTGGCTCTGCCACAGCACCACTCCCTGCCACAGGCTGGCTCAGCTGAACAGGGAGGTCAGGACACACACACAGGTGGCTGCGGGCTGACTCACGCCCAGTCGGGACACTTCCCCAGGTCAGGCCCACCTCCCTGCCTACGCTCCCCAGCCCCAGGCTTCCTCCCGGTGGGTGCAGAGAGGGCCCCAGCGTTAGTGTGGGCGAGTTACTAGAGATGTGCAGACACCAGACAGGTTGTTGCAAATGCTCACCACGTTTGATCAACACAGTCAGCGTCCCTGCAAGGAGGGAAGAAAAAGCTCAGCGGGGCCAGCCAGGGACAGGGGCTGCAGGTGTGGGCGAGGGACCTGCGCCCTAGAAGCATCACTAGCACCACAGTACGAAGGGGCCACTCCTGCAAGGCCCATCCACGCACGTCCCACCCCAAGACCACCACCCTGCCTGGGGCAGAGCAGCACTGCCTTCCTCCAGCCAGGAGAGAAGTCAGGAGCCTCACGTGTCGCTGCCGCACCCTCAGCGACAGCTGGCTACCACGGGCCCGAGGGAGAACAAGCTTAGGTCAGCGAGAGGGAATGAGAAGGAAAAGGGAGTTCTCTGCCCACACAGAACTGTCCGCAGAAACCACAGCAAATGGAAGGTTGTTGCAGGGAGTAAGAAACAGTGATAGGAGTGGTGGCTGCTGCTCCACCAATCCAGGAAACAAGGGAGCCAGCATCTGCACATCAGTGTGTATAGCAATCCCTGAATCAGAACATAGAAACGAAATGTGGTTCTGCAAACACCACTTGAGATACGTATCGGGGTCTGCCTCAGAACATTCCCAGCCACAAGCCCGCAGCATCCACCCCCTGCCCACCCGCCCAAGACACCTGCAGTGATGCTTCCTGCTGGCGAGCCAGAAGGCACTGTCGCAGGCGTAGCAGTGAGCAGCCAAGTGGTCAGGGAGCCAACGAGTCATCTGCAAGAAAGATGGGTCAGGTTAGTGAAAGGAGACGGCCTTCCTCCGAGGGGCAGCCACAAGTCACAAGGACCACATTAGCCCAGCAGGTCAACAGTACAAGAAAGGCGTCCAGATCACTTTCCTGGAGGGGACTCCAATCTCCCCTGAGAAAACAGGCAGCAGCACACAGAGCAGTGCGCTGGCAGTGAGGCCCAGGGGCCAGCTAGCCACGTCTCCCTAGCTCAGCAGCGATGGGCTCAGTGTGGGTTCACAGGAGCTGAGAGCGCACAGGCTCAAGGCCAACTGTGCTGGGAGGTCCCTCCCTGGCCAAGGGCATGGGGCAGGGATGGGGGCGCAGAAGAACCACCCAACAGCTGCGTGGATGGCACTTAGAGCAGGGGCTGAGCCTGTACCTCTGTGTCCTGTTTATCCACCTGCTCCCAGCTGGCTTCAGAGAAAATCTCTGTGCTGCAGTGAGACAAACAGCTCTGATCCAGATTGCTTTCCGAGTCGGGGATTGAAGTCTGTTGGCAAACAAACAAAGCTGAACAGAATGGACTGGACTCCTCCCGGAAGGGGTGGGGAGGAGGGGCGCCCAGGGCACTGAGGGCAGGACTAAGCGTTAGGGCAGCCGAGTTGGCAGAGGCACCAGCCGTCAGGAGCAGGGCTGAAGAGGCTCACAGACAGGAGTGGGACTCGCTGAGCGGGCTGCACGGGCTGTGTGCAGAGCAGGCCCTGGGGTCCTAGAACTGGAGGACAGGTGACCAGGATGGAGAGGGAACTCCCAGGCCAGTCGACCTGACCCTGCCACTTGATTAACACTGAGCGTTTGGGTCATGCCATCCTTTCTCTTAAGAATTTTGTAGAAGAAACAAACCATCATTATGATGAAGGGGAAAAAAAAATCACAAAGTTTTGAATTCCAAGTCACTGGGTTGGATGTGCCGCCTTTACTGTACGGTGACTGCTCCCGAGCCAGGCTCCCACTGCCCTTGAGGGCACCAAGTCAGACCCACCGCCTCGAGAACCAACCCTCTTGGCACCCCCTACCGCACTAGGAAGCGGTTCTTTCCATCTCCTGCTGGCACGAGACAATGCAGTGCCGCTCCCATCAGGGAAAGCCCACAGTTCACCACTAAGGGCAGTGCCCTGCAGCGTTGTCCTGCTCGGGCTCAAGCCCTTGTGCAAGCACCGAGTCTTCTGACACTATGTAACCAAGCATGTGCTATACGCCAATTTCCTTCCCGTCCTCCTGCCAGAGCAGGACATCTGGGCAAAGTAGGCAGAGGCAGAAGGCTGCTGCTCAATAGCCTCTCCCCAGGCTCCCTGGGACTTTGGCAGAACACAGGGCGCCCAGGCTCACTGTGCCATGTCCTGAGGCAGCTATGCAGGGACCACTTCCTACTCACCACTTCGTCCGCAAAGTCCCCATTGAAGTGCAGGGAGCTGGTCAGGTACTGGCTCTCCAAGCGACTCCTGAGCTCCTGGACTTGCTTCTTCAAGGTCTCCACTTCCTGCTGGTGGCCCGACTCGATCTGACGCAGACGCTGCTGGATCGTGTCCGTGTACACAGGCATGCCATCGTCGTCCAGGTGGCTGCGGGAAGGCTGCTCAGGGCTGCTGGCTGCGGATGGCCTCCCAGAGTGGCTGTGTAGCCACTTGTGGTGCAAATTCCTCGACTGTAAGTGGGCAGAGCTGCAGCTCATAGCCGTTACCTGGCGGCTCACAGAGTCCTTGCTCCTACCAAGCTCCCCGTTGGCGCAATGCCCGTTGAGCGCAGGGCACTTGTGGAAGGTACTGAGCGCTAGGGGCAGTTCTGAGGCCTTGTTTTCTGCCTCCAGGGCACCATTGCACACAAGCCCCTCTTTACATTTAGCTAAGGGCAAGGCACAGGGGGCACAGGGTGGGTTCCGAGTGCTGCCAGGGGAAGTCCTGAACACCTCAAACTCTGCTTGGAAGCTCTCGGAAGGCCTAGGCCCCGTGTCCTTGCCACTCTTCACCAAGCAAGGTTTGTGATGTCCTTGGGGACCACTTTCTGACTTCACCTTATCTTCTGTCATCAGGTCCATGGGGCTGTCCACATTTGGTCCTCTGGTCTCAAATGGGACTTGGGAAGGTGACAGAGAACTGGACTGAGAGGCACCATAGCCAACATCTGCACCTCCAGGAATCGGAAGGATGGCTTCCTCCCCTCCCTGTGTGGCATCTGCTGCTTGCAGCTGTTCAGGGGCCGCCTGGGACTCCTCCCCTGCCAAGGGCACCTGCCGAGAACTGGGGAGAAGACTCGGTTCATCCTGCCACTCAGAAGCACCCTGGGCAAGCAGAGGCAGGCTCGGGCCCAGCTGGCTGCTCAGAGCAGCACCCTGCTGTCCTGGGTCTTGGTGGAGTGCAACAGCCGCGCTCTCCCTGCTGCCCTCCTCTCCCGAGGGTGCCTCCTCCTCGACCTCCTGTGTCTCACAGCCCCTCCTGTGGGCAGCTTCCTCAGCCCCACTCTCCTCTTTAGTGGCCTCTTGCAAGATGTTCTCCATCTGCCCCTCGGCCACCCCAGCCGCCACTGACAGCTCAGCGCCCCCCGGTGCTTTGCTGGGCTTCCCCAGGCCGTCCACACCCAGGGGCTCTTCCCCGGGGCCGGCCAGATGGCTGAGTTCCAGCGATCGTCTGTGCTCCTGCCACTTCTCATTCAGGCTGGGGTCGCTGCTGCGCCGGCTGGCCAGAGGCACTGTGTTGTCGCAGGCCGTGGTCAGATTGTCAAATGATCTAGTCTTTGGCAGCCTAAAAGAGAAGAGTTGAGGAGACTGAGAATCTGCAGCTGTTCAGAGGCAAGAGGGAGAGAGCAGGCCTTAACAACAGGTTGTTCTAGAACCGAGTCTGTTTGGACTACTCCAGGCACTGCAGCAGCCCCACTTCCTTCCAGCTCCCTGCCTGTGGCCTGGGAAAGCAGTGGAGGACGGCCCAAAGCCTTGGGACCCTGCACCCGCGTGGGAGACCTGGAGGAGGTTCCTGGCTCCTGGCTCCGGATGGGCATAGCATCGGCCGATGTACTCACCTGGGGAGTAAATCATCGGATGGAAGATCTTCCTCTCTGTCTCTCCTCCTCTCTGTATATCTGACTTTGTAATAAAAATAAATCTTAAAAAAATTTAATAAAGATAATTCCCAAGTGGCAAAGCCAAATTCATCATGTGACAGCATCTGATTCAAGTCTTTGAAGACAAACGGCTGGGAGGAAGGGACACCGGGTAGCAGGTGAGAAGGGGCCTTGTTCCACTCTGACACAGTGCCCTGCGCTCACAGGACGGCAACACAGCGGTCCCACCTCCCAGAAACCAGAACCTTCACTCCTTTCTTCCGAGAACTCATGAGAGCTAAGGAAGCTGCTGTGCAACCACACATCATGGTACCAGGCCACACCTGGGCAAGATCCCCCCACCCCAGGACACACCCCCACACAGCTGGAGGCCCATGGCATCGCCCTTGGGCTCACCGGCTCAGCGGGGAATCCTCGGGGCTGGTGCCTGGGGCTGGGTACGGCGCACAGCTGTCATCCACAGGGGCGGACGGGGATGGACACGGCAGGTACACCGCACTCCACAGCATCAGGTTACGTACATGGCACACGGGGTACAGCACCTGGAATGGGGAGGACACAGGTTTGAAGAGCCTAATTCACGCGTTAGAAGTATCTGCAAGCAAGGCTTCGGAACCAGGCAGTTCCGGCAGCCACCAGGCCAGTGTCTGCAGGGAGGCGGCACCGGCAGCTACGGTCTGACAGACGAGAGGTTTCACCTGGCAGCATTTTGCAGCCACAAGCCACAAATCTAAAGCATTTTTTTTTTTAAAGAAAGACCATCTCAGTCACTTGGAGTACCTTTACTGAATGACTTCCATTCGCTTGATTTGTTGCTTTTGCTGCATAGTAAAGCGAATTATGTTAGGTGATGATTGCTCACTCCCCTTGGAACAAAAGCTTGACTTCAGCAGACATCATTAAACTGTTTACAGGATCATTTAAATTACCATGGGAAGAGGGAATTTTTCCGTGTTAACCTTCATAGCAGGCACAGTAAAGGAACGTGAGAAGCAGCCGACTTGAGTTTTTATCTGACAAATGTCAACCACGAGCATATTAACAGACCAGTAAAGCAGTGGTGACCTCATTAGCCTCCCGACTTCAGAGTTAAGGGCTATTCTGACGACAGGAACACAACCGTAACGGAACAACACAGATGTGTGCACCTCTCACTTTCTGCTTAGCAGGAGGGAGTCCTTCGGGAAATAACGTTGAAGGACCTGCCAGCTCGGCATGTCAACAAAACCAAACACGCCGACATCAGACCCAGTTTTCTGCTGAATCAGAAGCTGCAGTGCTGTCCCCAGTGGGTCCATGCAGGAAGGGGCTGGGAACCGGGGGCAGCACCGTCCGAGTGATCGGGACAGCCAGGAGACAGCAGTGCCCCTTCTGTGTCCACTATGCTGGGACTGTATGGTGTCACCTACTGTGACAGTCAGCTGTGCACTACACTGCCTGGGCACAGGGAAGAAGAGCGAGCAGGCCAGAGCACCCACAGCATATCCGGCCACTGCGGCTCAGAAGGACAGAATGAAACCAGCTGAGCCAGGGACAGCAGAGGCCTTTTTGGGGTTAGGAGTTAAACTGCCACTTGGGACGCCTCATTGCATACTGTAATGCTGGTTCAAATCCTGGCCACTGCGCTGCTGATCCTCCTTGTGATTACACCAGAATGCCAAGATGGCCCAGGTGCCTGGGTTGCCGATAACCATGTGAGCGTCCTGCATGGAGCTTCCACCTCTAGCAGTCAGCGTGGCCTCAACTTGGCTGTTGCTTTATTTAGGGGATTCTTCCCCTCATTCCCACCACACCTAACTCTCCAACCCTGCCAAATAATTAAAACAAAAAACTCAAAAAGGCTCAAATCTGTCTCCACCCCGGATTCCTCCTGCTGGCCCCGAGGCTGAGGGATACCTACGGCCTCTGACTGCGAGGAGTACAGGAGGTTCTTGAAAGCCTTGTTGCCAGCCCGAAGAAGTGACCACACCGAGCACGTGCGCTCCTGAGTGTGCTTCTCCCCTCGCTCCTTGGCATTGTTGCACAGGAATGTTCCAAAGAGGCAGGAATAGGTGTGCTGCACTAGTTTGACCTGCGGGAGTACAAGGCAAAATCAAGCACTAGGGTGACACACTCTAGGGCAAGGCCAGCTTCCCCCAACATCTCATCTGGCCAGAGTTACCCCCACACTGCAACTGCAGGGCCCAGCCCCAATCACCACCTCTCGTTAGCCAGACTGTTGGCAGCCGCCCCTCCTCCCCACTTCCCTGAGCCCCCAGGAATCGGAGCCCTCCTCCCTACCGACTGGTCTGTCGGCCAGGAGCAGGCGAGTACAGGACTCAAGTCTGAGCTCACAGCAATTACTCAACTACTCATTCATTCAACAGCTGCTTACTGAGCTGATGTGGCCCAGCCTTGAGCACAGGTGCTATATACACAGCAATAAGCAGGGCTGTACTCTCGCCCTGCTGGAATTGCACTCCTGGAAATGTGGATGAGGCTATGAAGAACGGCAGGGCAAGGGGCTGGGCAGTGTGGGAAGGCCCCGAGCTGACGAGTCAGAGGAGTAAGAGATCGCATGGACAGCTGCACACACACAACGGCTTTGAGGCCAATACAAGATTGCCACCACCGAGGGACAGGAGGGAAGCCGGCGTGACTACAGGAGATTGCCCGAGGTGAGTAACACTAGGAAGCCGGCCTAGAGAGGCACTTCAAGGGGGCCCTGTCAGCCGTGAGCACTCAGGACTGGGGCTCCGAGCACAGGAATGGCATCTCTGCCTTACGTCCTAGGAGGATCTCTCTGGGTTAGGCTGACTCTGGAATCAGGACAGGTCATGACGGTGCCTTGGATCAGGGTGGCCCCAGCAGAAATGACATTAACTGGATTTTAAATATATTTCGAAAGCAAGTCAGTAGTATCGGACAAGGTGGAGCCGATTTTTGCCCCCACAACAGGCCGGAACTGGCTTACTCTGAGATGGATACTCACGGTAGATTAAGTTTTAGGGCGAGGAACCATAGAAGCTTGAAATACCACTAACACAGCCAAGTGTAGCAAGATACCAAGTAACCAGCTGAACATGTTGAGACGTCTAAGCTGTAAGTGTCTAAATGGGGAGCTGATGCAAATATAGATGGCAGTAAACGCCAGCAGATGGGACTGCAGGCAGAGCAGCAGCCGGCAGGCAAAGTGCTGGGGCCTCCCACAGTTAACAGGGAAGACGAGGAATCGGGAAAGGAGCCAAGACCACCAGGGTAACAACTGACATCAGGTGACTGCCTGGCAGCCAACCAAGGAAGTCTGAGAAGGGGGTGACTCCTGTGCCTCATGGCAAGAGTGGATTTGAGAAGAAGCCTGAGTAACGATCACCACGCGGGGAACGCTGGGGTCACGGGTCACCTTACAAGAGCAACTGACAGTGACGGACATGGGTGCCCGACACGGGAGTGGGTTTACAGCAATGGGCAGAAGGAATTGGGAGAGCAGGTATGGAAGAGTTCCAATGTGAAGGAAACCAGAAACAAGGAGATGGCAGTTATGGAGCTCTGGGCCAAGAGTTGTGAGAAGGGAGACAGCACGCCGTGTCTATGCCGACACGTGACCCTGCAGGGAAAGCGCTTCAAGGCAGCAGGGGAGCGGGAGCGGGAAGACAGACCGGAAGGGGCAAAGACCGTGTATCCTGGGAAACGACAGGCAAGAGTGAGCCTCGTGTAAGGCTTGGCTGATGGACTAGGGAGCGCAGGGCAGTGACGGCCCCTGGTTTCCCACCATTCCTTCTAAAAGCCAGATTTTAAACGAGGACTTTAAGCAAAACGACCGCACAGGTTGACCGAGTAAAGGCCTGTTTGCTCTTGCTTTTAAATAAAAACGGGAGAATATGGCTGGCTTTCTATCCATTTCTAAAAATTCCAGTTTGATGTGAAAATACAACCCCCAGAAGGCCCCAAAATACAGAATCTCAAACCCAAACTCACAAGGAATGCTTCGTTGAACTCAAAAGAGCAAGGGAATTGCCTCTGAAGCTGATGCACGCAGTCCAGCCACTGCAGAAACACCGGGCAGCGCTCGTTCAGGTCGTCCGAGTTCTCCCCGTGCCCACAGCGGTCAGCAAACTTATGGCCGAAATCCAGCCACTCCATCTCCACGAGGACCTGGAATCCCTGCGGGGAAGCATCCAGACTGTGACAGTCCCAAGCCTGGCGCCCTGACAGCAGTGCCACCAGCGGCCTCCCCTCAAGTCTAGTAGGGCAGGCTGCGCTTGCGCTGGTCACCGACAGGTGCTCACCTGCGCACGTCTAAGCCTCAGGAGTCTGTTCACATTTTTAGCTTCATTCACGAAGACTCTCCCATAAATCACATTTTGGGATTTCTGTATTTGGCAGTACATTTACAGTGTCTGTAAAATTCTCCCACGTCCCAGACTTTACAGACTGTGTCACAGCACTTCACGGTCGTTTTCAACCCAACAGGTGGCTGTTAGATTGGGGCCCCTTTCTCACAGAACACTGATAATACAGAAACCCATCATCATTACAAGCAAGTCACCGTCTATGTTCCTGGGCTAAAACTTTCCCAAATCAATGGGTCTCAAGGGAAAATATGTATTCTCGGTATTTTGTTATTCACAATCTGCCTCATTTAAGAGGCAAAAGAACTAGAATAGGCACCACTAAAATTTAAGTAAAAAAAACTAAGTAAAAACATTCTCTTCAGAGCTAATCGCAAATCCCAAAATTGCTTGTGTAAAACCTTCCGAGGCGGCCTTCCCCACGCCCTCCGGGGATGCACCCACCTCTACTGTCCGGTAGTAAGGGTCCAGCAGGAGCTTGGCCAGCGCCACGATCTGGGGCGTGCGGTCCCAGCCGTCGGAGCAGTGCACGAGCACTGGCCGCTGATCCCGATCCACAGCGTGCACTACCAGCAGGGCCGACTTCAGCAGCATAGACAAGTGATGGAGCCATTTTGTGCTTTCAAGAGCCGAGAGCCAGCTACAAAAACAGGAGCAGAAAACGAAATGCTGGTTTTCATGATATACTGTATTGGGCCCAGTGCCTGTCAAATTAAAAAAACTTCCAAGATTTTTCCCTGAAAATAGATCACACTAAAACGAAAAGAAATCTGTTCATGTAGCATGTGCGAGAGAGACCCCGCGCACTATTACGCAACAAAGGAGCGCTTTAAGAGTAAGGACAAACTTGGGTTCCAACGTCTTTTTGGATAACGGACGAGAAGATACAGAATACTTTGTCCATGATGGGAAAATACTGTGTGAAGTAATTCTGGAATCTTCTAAAACATAGCGCCCCTTCTGACTTCTAAAACAGATTATATTCAGTGATGATCAATTCTACCTAACAAATTCTCAGGGGAAAAAGTAAACACATAAAAACAGGTCTACGATGGGAAGTAAGCTACACGCTACCTGCAAGCACACCTACCGCAGAGGATGCGCTGTGAAACGGGATGGTACCTAGTAACCAGGCAGTGCCGCCTAGTGCAGGCTGGACTCGGCAAGACTCTAGAAGCACCTTTTCCCCCCAAGACCCTCAGAAGTATCGGCAAGCTCATCACAATTATCAGAAGTATGCTGACATTTTCTTTTGCTTCCCCTGCCTTCAATTCCCCCCAAAGCACTCAGATTTGCGGCTGACAGAAGAGAGCTCCGAAGGGGCGTTCCCAAGACCAGGCTTGCTTTAAAGGCCTACCAAACTTCAGAGTATCAATTATTGCAACAGTCTGAGGAGGGAGTCCTTCCAAGCAAGAAGCAACAGCAGCAAGTGCCCTACGCACTGGCTTCACGTGGGTTAGTTCTGCAGCCTGGGATCCTCAGGGCTGACCCTGTCCCTCGGTTCCAGGGAGGAGCCCCACCTGTCTAACCAGTCATGGGTTGAAACCTCATCACACGACTCCACTGGTCCTGGAGAACAACTGCTCATTCTCCTTCCTCAGTCTTGAAAGAAACAAAGATGGGCTCAGAAAGCCAGCACTGAATTATTTCCTTGTCCCTAGAGAAACGGTCAACAAGGGGACCTGTCGGGTAAAGTTCTTCCCAGCCAAATTAAAGATGTGCTGGACACGGGTGGCACAGCAACATGTCCGCCGAGGAGCTGCCGCGAGCTTCACATCCCCTTCAGCCTCCAGAGCCCAACCAAGGGCCGATGGCTTACTGAGAGCTGGTGCAGTCACTCCAGCGGGCTGCACGAGTGCGTCATCATTTGCTGCCACTGCAAACCAAGCAGCACCTTTAGAAAACCTTCACTTTGGACCCGCTGAGGGCTAACTGGGCAGTTCTCAGTAATCTCGAGTACATGAGAAAGCCAACTGTGTAAAAGCAACAGTTTTACTTTTGTTGAGTCTAAAAAAAACAGCTTCTTGAAGGATTTTAGTTTGTGGAAGATGGCAGAGATCATGTAGTACTCGTTTTTTCATTTTAAGAACAAGAAGCTTGAGACCCACAGCAGTTACGTCATTGGTCAAGGTCACACGGCCGTGGCGAGTTTCCTAAGTCCTCGGCCAGGGTATTTCCATGCCCCACTTTAGAGGGGAGCGTGCTGGCAGCCGAGCGATGGAGCTACACCGCAGGGGCAAATGGCTCGCCCCACAAGGGAAGCAGCAAGCTCAATTCTTCCGTCAGGCTTTCTGCAAAGGACACTGCTTCACCCCCTGGGCTGCTTCATCATTTGCTCTGAGGAGCAAGTGCAAGTTTAAGCAGCATGTGATTTAGTAAATCAAGAAGGCAGCAAAACCTATTATGATCTTGATATCTGAACAGGATCCACACTAACAACTATGGGCTCCAGCACAAAGACCAGAAAACAAACTTGTTTGGTGTCACCCCTAGCTTCCTAAAATAGCAGATGGGCCTTTAGATGTTGATCTGATTATCCTACAGAGCATTCCTAATTTATATTCCAGCAGGATCCCAGGACAGGGCAATACTTCACCTTCCTTGCTGCAAATGCCAGTCATTCATTTTTAATAAGCAATAAAAATCATGCTAATGTTCTCAGTAAATGAGAGAACAGTTTAGAAGCTAAGCAGGTATAAAAGGAAATGACCTAACGACAAATGTAATCCTTTCAGAACACGAGGAGTTTTGACTGGTAAGCGCCACAGGACACCAGAAACCAAAAAATTCAATAGCTCTTAGCTGAAAACCACATGGGTGCACCTGCAGGAACAAGATGGGAACACTTTTGTCATAAGAGCCAAGATCTGTCCTGTGCTTATTTTGAAACCTCGAGAATGACATTACTGGAAAGGCAGATTCAGAGAAGGAGCGACAAAAAGCTTCCATCTGCTAGTTCACTCCCCAAATGAGCACAACAGCTGGAACCAAGCCGATCTGAAGCCAGCAGCTTCTTTCAGGTTTCCCACGTGAGTGCAGGGTCCCAAAGCTTTCAGCCATCCTCAATTGCTTTCCCAGGCCACAAGCAGGGAGCTAGATGGGAAGTGGAGCTGCTGGGATTAGAACTGGTGCCCACATGGGATCCTGGCACTTAAAAGCACAGGACAAACCAGTTGAGCCATTGCTCTGAGCCCTTATTTTGAGACTTTTAAAAGGCTGGATTTTTCCCTAGTTCCTCGTCTGTGCTGCCATGCTCCTGAACAGGAAGAACAGTACCCATAAAGTGCAAAAGTAGGGCCAGGGCCACATGGTTTAGGAGGTTAAGTAGCCCTGGCATCCCACATGAGTCAGTTCCACTCCTAGCTGTTCCACTTCCAATCCAGCTCCCTGCATATGGCCCAAATGTTTGTGCCCTAGCTTTGGATTGGCTCAGCTCCAACTGTTAGCACCATGTCATGAGTGAACCAGCGTGATGGAAGATCTGTCTGACTCTACCTTTCAAATAATCTTGAAGAAAAAAGTAAAACTGAAATTCACAAGAAGTAGAAGCAAAAACTCTCCCAATGGAAACAGAGCGACAAAGTCACGACCAAGGTCTTACTTTCCTGGATCCGGCATCTGTGTGCACAGCAATCGTAGAGACTGGAAACTTCTCCGAATAGAATGAATGTTTGCCATCCCCATAAACACCACTTCACAGTTTGGGTAATACTCTGAGAACAGAAAGAACACAAATGTTGAGTTTAAAGCCCACATAACCAAATTTAGAAGTTGGCTATAAGAAACACCCACCATGGCCACTAATGCAACTGTGATGCGTTGACACTGAACTGAGTTCACTGCTTTATAAGAGGAAAAACAGTGCGGAAATTCTGGTTGTTTTATTTTTGAAAAAAGGGTGGAAAAGGTTTGTGAAAAGATACTGACATGGAAGCTGCTACTTTTTGGAAGACAGGGCTATAAGCTGCCCACTTACCATGATTTACTTCTTGGGCCTTATCTAATCTGGAGCTCTGCGATCTGGTTGAAAACCTTTGCACAAGAATGTGTCTCACCTTGGTAAGGAGTTCTGTCTCCAGTTTAGCTTGCACCTAAATATGGAGCATGGAGTCTGTGCTATCAGCATCCACTTGCTGCCAAGGTGGGCACCCCAAGGACAGCCAGCATCTCAATAGTACAGCAGCTGCAGGCCAGTCAGAAATACCTCACGCAGCGTCTTGATAACTTTTATTTCCCCACCAAGTTTTCCGAAGGGAAACCCTCAGAGGAGCTGCTGCGAGGCCAGGATGAGTCCACCCGCTGCCAAGGCAATGGGCGGCTTTCTCATGGTGCAGCCTCAGGGCCTCCAGAGCAGCAGCCTGCCAGGAGCTGCTTCCCTCCACTACGGGTGGCCAAGGGTACAGATCTGGCCGCCCCGCCATGCTTTCCTGCTTCACCTCAAAAAGAATGCACAGATTTATGAACCAAAGGAGAAGCCTGGGCTCTCTCAAGGTAAGCTCAAATGCAGAGCTTAGTTTAGGATGGGTGTGGGCCAGACTGCTAAGGGCAGAGATGGGGTGGGGGCACAAAGCACCACACACCTCACCTGGGCATTCACAGCCTCCTCCTTTGGCTCGGTTGGCCACAGCTGCTGCATAGGAGCGTGCATCCAAGATCAGAAGCTTCCGTGGCTGGATGGCTAGACTCTCTGCTCCCGTGGTATTTGATGAAGAATCTAGGGACATGTGGAGGAAGGGGAAACACATGAGCCTGCCACTCCCAGAACTATACAAACTCATGAACCACAGGCATGTGTTACATACATTACTAAGAAATAAAATGAAACTCCCAACGACAATCCTTCATACATCTGACCGCTCCAGTTTATTGACCTTCTTATGAAGATGGGATAATGACCGACTCCAAAACCAATTCCCAGAACACCCATGAAAATCCAGGGCCCAATTTTCCCAGACCATTCTTTAAGCCTATAATCCTCTAAGTCTGGGATTCCCAACCCTCACCCCTCAATGGGGTGGCACCCCAACAGATCAGACATTCCATTCTTACCACCATTACCATTCTTACCCAGTGGCAAAAGAGGTGACAAATGCTCTAAGCTCTTAAGCCAAGTTTGAAATAATGGGTTTCTGATTATGGTCAAGATCCCACGATTCCTCAAACAATTCCATCAAGTGAGCTTCATCCACCCCTCTACAAAACCGTCTTAAGGAAAAGACCACTTCAAGAATCAGTGCTCAGATGCTGTAAAAATTGCTACCCAGGGCAGCATTGTGGCCCAACAAGTTATGCTGAGACCTGTGATGACAGCATCCCAAACAGACGTTGGGTCAAGTCCCAGCTGCTCCAAATCTCATACAGCTCCCTACTAATGCGCCTGAGAAAGCAATGGAGGATGGCCCAAATACCTGGGGCCCTACACACTCAGAGAACCTGGATAAAGACCCTGGCTTTGGCCTGGCCCAGCCTTGGCAATGGCAACCATCTGCAGAGTGAGCCAGCAGGTAAAAGCTTGCTCTCTAATTCTGCCTTTCAAACAAAAGGACAGTCGGTGCTACAGGTGCAGGGAGCAGCTTACCGAACTCCACATCCGAGAGGCCAGTCCCGCTGGCAAAGTCTCGAGCAGCGCTCCTGGCCGACAGCTTGCAGCCGCTGGATCGGGAGTCCGAGGCACAGGCTTTGGCCACCGACTGCACCAGGTGCTCGTCATCTGCGTTTCGCCAGCCCCACCAGCTGACCTCCGGCTGACCACAGCGGGCAATGACCGCGCCATTGCTCTGGTGCCTGTGTTGGGAAGACAACACTGTACTGATACAGGGGGTTCTGCAGTTACACAAAATCTGAGGGGACAGCCAGACTGCAGGGAACAGGAGCCTGAGCAGGATGGCCAGGCCTCCAGGTATGAAAGAGGGCAGGAGTGTAGTACATCAATGAACGAAGTCTGACCCGTGTGTCTTCCACTATCATACCAGAAAAAATTGCAGTCACTAACAAAATGACAGTAATATCTGAAGTGTTTGAATCGGAGTTCTTTGAGAATGTCTGACTTCTCATGGGCCATCACAATGACTACCCGTGGCTGGCTTGGGGAGTCTTTTCAAACTAAGATCCCCCTGCTTCAGGGTTGAACCTGCTTAACTGGCCCATAGTGGACTGCTCAGTTTTCCTCAGGCTTTCAGAAGGAAAGCAGCAGCATTAATTCAATAACCCATACTCTGATAACTCCTTTTGCCAAAAGCAGAACACATACTCCTTATACTTTAAAATGCTATAAAAGCTCAAGCATTAAAAATAAAAAATGAACTGAATGAAGAGACCAGTGTTGTAGCACAGTGCAATGAGACACCTGCATCCATGTTAGTGCTGGTCCGAGTCCTGGCTGCTCCACTTCTGATCCAGCTTCCTACTTACACACCCAGGAAAATAGCCAAGGATGGCTCAACTGCTTGTGTCCCTGCCACCCAAGGGGAGACCCAGCAGGATTTCCAGGTCCTAGCTTGAGCCTAGCCCAGCCTATTGCCAGGGATGAAGACCTGAAGACCTTGCCCTTCAAATAAATGTCAAACACACATACCAAACAATACCACAAAAACCAAGTGATTACAATTTTTGGCAAGTTAAAAATACTCAGAAAAAAAGTTCTGATCTAAACACTGATGAATCTTGAATAAATCAGAACCACCAGTCACAAAAGGATGCATGTTGTATGACTCCATTTATATGTGGTGTCCAGAGCAGACCAATCCATGGAGACAAAGCAGACGACTGGTCACTCAGGGCTGGGTGCAAGGGAGCTGGGGAAGGAAGCGAGTCCCGACTGCTACCGAGCATGAGATTTGTTGTCGAATGATGAATGAGTCATAGAATCAATTGTGGTAGTGGCCACAGACCGAATGTAGTGGACTTAAAGTTCACGGAATTGTTTACTTTGAAAGGAATAACTTGTGGTGGCACATTTCATTGAAGTTGCTTTTGCTTTAAGTTACAGAGGTAATCACAGGTGCAGTGTGGTTGAGCACGGTAAGCCACTGCTTGGGATGCCCATATCCCCCATCACAAAGCTGGTTCGAGCCCCAGCAATTCCACTTGACCCAGCTTGCAGTGACAGGAGACCCAGACAGTGTTCCAGCCACCTGGCTTCACTCAGTGTGGCCTTCTTTCAAAGTGGATTAAAAAAAACATTCTACAAAGAAACCGGTCCATTGTAAAAATGAGAATTAAAGCTGTTGAGCAAAAATCATTCAAATGTCCTCAAATTCGGTATCCCAGAGGAGACTGATCATATTCACTTCTCTAAACCTGCTTTCTAAATGCATGTATACACATACAAGCATGTATGGCAGATGAATTTTAACAAATTGTACCCCGAGTCTGTCATTTGCATACCAATATGAGAACTATTTCCCTTTTAGTCCTGAAGTTGTAGATATGGTGCGATCAGGTCACTGTAGTTTTTAAATCTTCCCTCACTTGGAGAGAAAACCAACTGAAAATACTTGTACAATGCCACCACATTCAACTGGATCATGGGCTGAATGGCACAGAACTGGAAATAAATCGCATCCATTCTTCAAATGTTTTCCAGCGAGTAACAGGCACCAGGCAAACGCTGAGCCCAAGGACTCCAAGCCTTGGCAGGGGAAGTCAGCCCGGAGCTCTCTAGCTCTGTGTGTGCCAGCAGTGCCAGCAACAAACAATAGATGGCACTCTCTGGCCTGGGTCCTCATCTTAAAGGCCATGGATAGAACAGCCAGATGTCAGCCAGGCTACTGCAACAAGCAATTTTGTGTTCCTCAGATTGCATGAAAGGTAATTAAAACACTACAGTTAAAAATCATGCAATCAAATCATTTGTATCACTTTAACTGGAGAAGTATGAAAACTGACACGTCTAATGGGTAAGCCCCTTTACTGTCTAAAGCACTAAGTGGATCAATTTGACAGAAACATACAAACTGCTTTAACAACCCTTAGTTAGGCAAGTTCCCTGCGTGACTAGGAGGTTCTAATCCCTGCCACATGCACAAAGGGGGAGCTGTGAATTACACTACAGATGGGCGCCCTTCACACCATCTTGCTGTGTTCGAGCACACTCTGCCTTCAATAATAAATCCAATTAAGTGCTCTCATCACAGCAGGCGCAGGCTCCAGTCACGTGCTAGTTGGGTGTGGGGCTGTCAAGCAACTGCTGCCAGCAGCTCGGGAGTCAGGCCTGCAATCTGCAGACAGCTAAATTCAGTGCATGAACACAGGCTTCGGGGGCATCCTGCCACCCCGGCTGGCACTGTTGAGCGGTGAAGGGGCCCAAATGTTCAACATGCCCCTCCCTCACAGAACTCCCAATATAGCAACCCGGTGTGCAGCCGAGAGACGGGCCAGGTTCTGAGAGCAGCTCAGAGTGTCAGACTTCACTCAATTACATCATGAACTTAGCATCTCTTTTTGAAAGCAGATTTTCTTAGGAAAAAAAAAAAAATGTCCTCTGTGTATTCTTTAACGTCTCCCAAAATAGGGAAAAAGGAAAAGTGTAGGGCTCATGCCTTATAGAAAAAGGTGTTTTCCCATTTTATTACATAAAAATCCTAAGTTTTTTTCTCTGCTAAGGAGGCCCAACTCTTGGCTCTCAGATTTCTCGGCCAGAAGAGTGAATTCACCATCTCAGGGGGAGTGCTTCTCCTGCAGGCCGGGGCTGCTGCCGCCGACATGGCCCTGGGCCAGAACGGCAGCGGGGACCTGCTTTCCCAGCACACTCCGAAATCCCTTTAGCTTTCACTGCCTGATTCCTGTTGTCAGCCTCACCACTTGGATGATAGATACATTTGGTGGCCTATTTTTCTAGGAGAGTCTAAAACTTAATGGGCTCCACTGGGGCAGAGTAAATCTCTCTCCATTCATCTCTATTCAGGGTAGGCATCAGAATTAGCCTTACAGGAGACTAAATGAAAAAGATGGCTACACCGTCAGTTCAGTGGGATGCTTCCTCTTAGAAAACATTTCCCAGCCACTGATCCAGCCCAAGTCAGGGAAAAGTCTGAACTGGGAAAATGAAAACATTAGGGATAGCTGGAAGCACTGCACAAAAAAGATGCCGTCCTAAAAACTGAATGCACTTCTGTGAAAACAGACATTTACTGAATTATATAGAGTCAACCTACTGAAAATGTGGCTGAGGGCAGCCCAGTGTGAAGTCTTACTGAGACCTGAGCACAGAAGGAGGCATCTGCCAAGTCCAAACTCCCATTTTACTCAGTAAGAACAGACTGAAGGCAGGGAACTTGCCCGAAGTGTCACCATCAGTTATAACAGACTCCAATTCGGGTCTGTAACTCGGGGCTCTGCTCACCTTATTACCATCCCCTTCAGAACTAGCATCCCTCTTCTATCAAGCCCCAGCCTTCTCTAAATGCTTTCCTTCAAAACACACATTGCACTTTCAGACACAAAGAAAGCCAGAGGATTCCACAGTCTACAGGATTCACCAACGCCTGAGACTCAATGCGATCAGCAGATGTCTTCCCAAACGAAGACAACAATCCTGAAACGGCAGGTCCAACCACTTCTTGCTGAACTTTTTCTTGGATCAGTAGAACCATAAGCCAAAGCTTTGGGTATACCAAGTACTGATGTGGTGCAGCACAGGAACAGTTTGGCAATGTGAAAGCACAAGCCTTGCTGGAAATTGAGCCCTCCCCCTCCTCCGGGCGGGTGGAGCCACAGGCAGGGCTTACCTGTAGACCACGGCAGGGATGCGCTTCCAGGACCTGAAGCTCGCTACACTTTCTAGCTCTTTATCAGTGATCCAGGCAGGCACGATGAGCTCCTGTGGATAACTACCGCACAACCTGACAAGACAAAGGAGAAAACAGGGGTGGGGAACAGAGGAACACCGGGGGAGCTCCTATGTATGTTGATTCTCAAGATCCAGAGTCGGCGAAGAGGCAGCAAGTAAGGTTACTTGAGCTCTGATCTCCTTTAGAGCGGTGCCTTTTGGCTTTTCATCTATGGCACTACTCACTGGATGCTGCAGTAACCTCAGCTGTCAAAGAGGGTAGTCTCTCTCATTCAAACTATTGTCACAAATTATTTTCACTCCAGAAGCATTCAGTCCAGCAGCGGGCCTGAGTCTGTGCCACTTCTTCCCCAGAAGTTTGTCTTTGAGACCTCTGTCAAATGCATACCAGCTTCTGCTCACACAGCCTGTCTGGAATGTAAGCAGGTAATCCTAACATCCATGAAACACCCAGAACAAACTAGACCCAGAGGAAAAGGTCACATTTCACTAGGTAAGATGCTAGATCAATGCTAGCCAAGCTAGTGGCCCAGCAAGCAGTGCTGCGGGAAGGTTTGCCCTTGCAGGGCAATGTCCTTTTATAGGCAACCCAACCTTCCCGCTCTATCCATTGGTTCATTTCCCCAGAACCAAAGTCTTCCGGAAGGATGGGAGGAACTCAATTACTTGCTCCTCTCAGGGCACACATTCAGCAGAAGTTAGAGCCAGGTTCTCCCAGGTAGACTATAGGTGTCTTCATCACCAGGCAAAATGTCTACTCTTCCAATTATTTGTAAAGTGAAGGTAATGGCCTGGCATGATGGTTCCCTGCCTAAATACGCCTTGTATGTGCCAGGTATCAGTTCATGTCCTGGCTGCTCTACCTGCCTTCCAGCTCCCTGTTTATGGCCTGGGAAGGCAGTCAAGGACAGCCCAAGGTCTTGGGACCCTATACCCAAGTGTGAGACCCAAAAGCTCCTGGCTCTAGATCAGGCTCAGCTCTGGCCATTGCAGACACTTGGGAAGTGAACCAGATCTTTGTCTCTTTGTGCAACTACTTTTCCAGTAATAAATGTTTAACAAATAAAGTGAAGGTAACAAGGGCCTTAATCTAGATTCTAAAAGTACACCAACTGCATCATCCCACCATCATCCTGCTCTGGCCTACCTCATACATCTGGAAAGAGTCAGAAAAACCAACCTAGAACACAGTGGTGGTGATCATTCCGCACTGTGTGTCACCTGCTTCTGAATTTTCAGCCATTTCAAGACTTTTCAACTTTATTAAACCAAGAGGATGGCTATGTCCTGTAGTTATACAAATTTCATAATTCCAACCCCTTCTCACAAATTCCTAAAAATATCCAGGGACACAGTGATTAGCTAATCCTCTATCAGTCTTGTCCTTTGTTTTAAGTTCAAGCCAAGATTAGATTCTTGTTCCTTCTTAGTAAGAACTTCTCCCCACCCACCCCCAATCTGAAAGGCAGAGTTCCAGAGAAAGGGAGAGAAATCCTTATCTTCCACCAGCTGGTTCACTCCATAGATGCCCAATGCACTGGGCTGAAGCCAACCAGGACTTAACTGGCACCCATCTGGGATGCGGGCATCGCAGACAATGGTTTAACATGCAGTGCCACAATGCCTGTCCCAGAAGCAGCTTTTCAATCTCTTGAAGATTAGTTTTGAAGTACAACTAATAAACTCAGGAAGTTAAGCTCTAACCAATGCAAATTTTAAACATTCTTTATTTAACTCACTTTAACTGTAGCCAGTTTTGAGCATTATGAATGCACTGTCTTATGATTATCTCACCCAGTGGTGAGCTCTAACAAACACAAACTGCTTGTTCATCTGCTGATAAACTGGTCCCAATTCAACAGAGGCAGGTTACATTTTGCAAAGCCTGTGGCAGCCGCAGGCTCTGAGGCCCATCTCACCCTCCGATGCTTTGCCTTGTTGCCAAAGACAGATAAAGGTTGGCAGATCCACATCAGTAAGTCTGGACTCCTTAGCCAGAGCCCCTGTTAAGAGCTCTGCACAGTAATTTACTACAGCTTTCTTAAAGAAAACTGAAGTGTGCAGATAACCAACTATCAACAGCAGAATGCCAGTCATAATTTGAGGCAACTTTTGAAAGGCTCAAAAAGCGCTAGTGCTACAAGGAACTTGAGAGGCACTTTAAGGAAACATGTGATTACAAAAGACTTAACAGTTCTCTTGTTAATGGCCCCATGGGAGTCGGGATCGTGGCACAGTGCTGCCTTTGAAAACAGGACCCCATTTGGGTACCAGTTTAAGTCTTGGCTACTTCAGATCCAGCTCTTTGCTCGCATGCCCAGGAAGACAGTAGAAAATGGCCCAAGTGCTTGAGCCCCTGCACGCATGTGCGGAGAAGTTCCAGGCTCATGGTTTCAGTCTGGCCCGCCCCCAGCCACTGAAGCCACCTGGAGTGAACCAACAGATGCGTCTCCCTCTCCCTTTCTGTACATCTTTCAAACAAATACTTTTTAAAAAGGAGTTAAATGATTGTTGCTCTGAATTTAGGTTTAGATCACCACATTCAAGAATAAAATTATCTGTTCCATAGGAGCGGGAGTAAAATTCGTCATATAAACTAGCTCCCAAGTATTTACTCCCTGCTAATGATGTCACTGATGCCATCACCAAGTCGGCATCACATGACGGGAACAATGGAAACTGCCTAACCCTAGGAAGAATCGGTGACATCCTCATGTGTGCATGCGAGGAAGAGAGGTTTGGAGGGGGTGGCATGAAGATGCCAAGATCCAGGTAAGGAAGGATCACTTTCCACTCCAGTGAGAAAAACAGAAGGTTCAAGAACTCTCAAGATCATGCTATAGACTTAACAGAACTATTTTTAAAAAGTTTCAGTTCAAGTGTTTTGCCATGTGATAAGTGGGGTTACTGTTAAAACGCTGGCTGTGACCCACAGCCCACAGGGACCTACGTAACTCACTTGTACTTCTCATTGATGTTGGAAATCCTCCAGGCGTTGTTCATATCAAAACCCATCCGCTCCACTTCATTTTTAAACCTTGACGTTACATGTTCCCCTAGGGGCCAAAGACAGCAGAAAGGAAGAAATGAATACCATTTCATTAAGTAGGTGGAATAAAACCATAGTTACTTTGCTACAACTGCAAATAACATTTTTAGCTTAAAATAACATCCCTGTCAGGGTAACAAAGAATTAAGAATTACAATCACAAATTATGCCACCTCATTTAATCTCTACTATCAACTGAGGATCATGGGAGTCTTTAAAAACAGACTTATCCAAAAAGCATATAGAGATTGAGTTTTCACCTGCAGAATGACTACCCAAATGGCTGCAACAGCCAGAGCCGGACTAGGCAGAAGCCCGAACTCAAGCCAGGTCTCCTGCACAGGTGGTAGTGATGAACGCACAAGCCACCGACTCCGCTTCCCAGCAGCAGTAGCAGGCAGCTGCACTGGAAACAGGTTAGCCAGGCCCGCGCAGGCACTCCACCATGGGATGCCGAGACCAAGCTTCATCTACTCTACAACACCTTCTCATGAACTCATTTTAGAGGAAAATGGAAACAGATTAGGTAAGTATGTTTGGCCCCAAAATCTACACTTGTTAATACCACTAGCAACCTTTCCCCTCCCACATTCAGTGATGGAAAGAAAATGTCTAAGAATACACAAATCAAATCAGTAACAATCACTTGGGCTGGTGTTGTGGCACAGTTGGTTATCCCATCTCATACCAAGATATGGAAGCTGATTTGACCCAGCTCCTGCTATGCACCTAAGAAAACATCAGAAGATGTCTGGGGGCCCTGTCTAACACGGGAAACCTAGACGGAGTTTCAGGCAGGCATCTGGTTTCCACCTGGCCCCCCTAGGCTCACCTGGGCCATCCACTGCTGCTTTCCCAGGCAGATTAGCGTGGAGCAGGATAGGAAGTGGAGCAGCTAGCTGGAACTTGGACCAACACCCATGAGATGCCAGTAGCACAGGTAGACACTTAACCTATGCTTTAGCACCTGCCTCTAATACATCTAAAAAAATTCACAACAATGACAAAAACCAAGATCACCATGAGAAGATAATACAGATGTACAATCCATGCCAAACACTGCAGGGTAGACCTCGGAAGGTAAGATGGTGCGTATCAGGCTCACACACTTAGGGCCTACTTAAGCATTATTTCTTCAAGTGAAATGCTCGGATAATTTACACCAACCAAGATAAAGGAAGCAGGAAACAGTTTCACATTAGCTCAAACAGGTTATGTCAAATGGGCTGGACAAGTCATTCTGCTTTCAAAGCCCTTTTCGATGTCAGAGCTGAAGGTGAGCAATCCTGGCATCCTACCTGAACATGGCACCAGCATCCCATATGGACACCAGCTGAGACTCCACTGCTCCCCTTCCAATCTAGCTCCCTAAAAATGGCCTGGGAAAGCAGCAGAGAATGGCCCGAGGAGTTGAGGCTCCTGAACCCACGTGGGAGACCTGGAGGCAACTCCTGGCTTTGGACTGGCCTGATTCTAGCCATTGTAGCCATTTGGAGAGTGAACCAATGGATGGAAGGTCTCCAGCTCTAACTCTGCCTTTCAAATCTTTAGAAAGTCTACCCTGAGATAAACTGACTATGGTCGTTCCTCCTAAAAAATTAGGTTCTCTTTCATAGCAAAGGTGAAGAACTCAACATTAATATCAGTGAATATGAACTTTCTTCCTTGCAAACACATGTAGTCCTAGGGCAATGATTCTCAAAACCATTAAACAGAACCTCTAATATACAGGCTGGCAGGGGGCTGGGAGAAACCACACACCGAAGCACAGACTAATGAGTCAAGTCCCTAGGAGAGGAGCTACGGAATAGGAATAGCAATTACATGAATGAAGGACAATTCTGGAAGACTACTTCCCATCTAAACTATTCCTCCTGCACTTAAGCTAGGTATTACGCATTTCCCAAAGGAGAGCTATAAAAAGATTCAAGGGAGGCAAGGAAAAATAGCTAAATCTATTCCATTTTGGTAATGTTGTAGAAACAATACAGCAGGCCTCCAAGTAAGAGAAACACTACCGGAACTGGGATGCCATCTGTGGGCAATCACAGGGAAATACTGACCAACGAGCATCCCAGTGGGGGAGTGGCAGGAGGCCCTGTGTGTAATTCTTATCCCAAACTGCTTCCAATCCAGTTTCCTGCACCTGGGAGGCAGTAGATGCTTCAAAAACTTAAGATTCCTGCTCCCATGTAGAGATTGGGAAGGAGAGTTCCAGGCTCCTGGCCCCGCCCAGGCTGTTGCAGCTAGTTAGGAACTAGAACAGTGGACAGACCTATCTTCCATCTCCTGTTAATTTTTCATATAAAATAAATCTTGATCAGAAAACACTAGTCAAGGAGGACTTATAGCTGCCCACTTCCACATCGGAGTGCCCAGGCTGCAGACCTGCCTAGTACTGCTCCCAATTCCAGCGCCTTTCAGCAAGAACCCCAGAGGGAACAGACACTGAGGTGGCCGGGTGCCACCCATGTGCGAGATCTGGATGGAGTTGAGGCTCTTGGCAGCTGCAGCCATCTGCAGAAAGCCAATGGTTAAGGAGCGGTGTCATTCTCCATTAAAAGAAAAAGATCCCTAACAGAAGCCAACTAGTCAGGAGTCTCACCTACAGTTTGATTAAAAAGCTGTAAATCTCTGGCAAATTCCAAGTTCATTAAATATTAAAGTGGGTATTCATGTAAAAGACCGTTAAGAGACACTTAAATATCCTGAAAGGATCTTGCAAACAGTAACAGCCACCAGCAACTTGCCACACAGAACCAAAACCCTGAAGAGGCAGAAACACCATTTACAACATCAAATTTTAAGCTACACATAAACATTTAGACAAGCAGTTCACAGAAAAATCTGTTGTTGCAAGTTCCTGAAGAACAAGGAGTAAATTTTAATTGCCACTGTATCCTCTAAAGCAGTGATTTCATGAATTCTGAAACTTAACATCAAAACCCACAGTGCGAACGTTTTATATCACAATGTAGCATGTGTCCATTTTTTTAAAAAGATTTATTTATTTTTATTGAAAAGGCAGATATACAGAGAGGAGGAGAGGAAGATCTTCCACCTGATGGTTCACTCCAAGCAGCCGCAATGGCTGGAGCTGAGCCAATCCGAAGCCAGGAGGCAGGAGCTCTTCCAGGTCTCCCATGCTGGTGCAGGGTCCCAAGGCTTTGGGCCATCCTTGCCTGCTTTCCTAGGCCACCACAAGCAGGGAGCTGGATGGGAAGTGGAGCTGCCAGGATTAGAACCAGCAACTATATGGGATCCCAGCGCCTGCAAGGCAAGGAGTTTAACCACTATACTGTGCTAGGCCCTCATTTTTTTAAAAGGGCTTCTGAGGCCAGCACTGTTGCACAGTCATACTGCAGACTGACACCAACATCCCATTATGGACACCAGTTCAACTCAGCTGCTCTACTTTCGATCTAGCTCCGTGCTAATGCACCCAAGAAAGCAGAGGAAGATGGCCCAAGGGCTTGGGTCCCTGTCACCCGTAGGAGAGACAGGGATGGAGTTCCAGGCTCCTAGTTCCAACCTGGACCAGCTGTGGCTGTTGCAGCCACCAGCCACTTGGGAAGGGACCAGTAATTAAACACCTATAATGACTCTTAATAAAAGGAGGGATTTAAAAAACACACCCAATCTTACTATGAGCGATACACTTTGATGCTTTCTCTTCTTATTTTCTTTAAATTTCATTTCAGTCTTGTGGCACAACAGATGCAGCCTCCGCCTGCTGTCCCAGCATCCCATATGGGCACCAGTCCATGTCCTGCCTGCTCCCTGCTCATGGCATGGAATAGTAGTACAAGATGGTTCAAGTCTTTGGGCCCCTGCACCCACATGGGAGATCCAGGCTCTTGGCTTGGGACGAGGCTAGTAACAGCCATTTTAATCATTTGGGGAGTGAACCAGCAGATGGACAATCTCTTTCCTGCTCTCGCCCATTCTCTATAAATGGGCCTTCCAAATAATATTTTTAACTATTTCATGATTCACTGGAACATGGTCTGCAGTTTTGAAAATTATTGCTTGAAGTAAAAAAAATCTAGCTGCAGATCTTATGTAAAATCATTAATACAGTTTGGTTATACAAATCGTGTCAGACATTCACTTCTATTTAGCCAGAAACTGTACACACCCACTGCTGAGTTAAGAATTTCTGTTGATCTTAAGCATTCAGTGTAGTACATCAACTCATTTTAAATTCCATTCCTAAAAAACTGTCCCTATGGGCCCAGCGGCGTGGCCTAGTGGCTAAAGTCCTCACCTTGAACGCCGCCGGGATCCCATAGGGTTGCCGGTTCTAATCCCAACTGCTCCACTTCCCATCCAGCTGCCTGCTTATGGCCTGGGAAAGCAGTTGAGGACGGCCCAATGCTTTGGGACCCTGCACCCGCATGGGAGACCTGGAAGATATTCCTGGTTCCTGGCTTCGGACTGGCACAGAACCAGCCGTAGCGGCCACTTGGAGTGAACCATCTGACGGAAGATCTTCCTCTCTATCTCTCCTCCTCTCTATCTGACTTTAATAAAAATAAAATCTTAAAAAACTCTGTCCCTCTTCATTTGGCATTACTGCTACTACAATTACAAGTCCACAGTGCGCATTTTACAGAAAAAGCCAACTTTTAATGAGCTTCCTTCCATCATAACCACAGTGCCTACTTGCAGTCTTAAAAAAATCTCCTTCCCAAGCCTCACCTCACTCCCTGGTCAATTCTGAATATTACAGGCCCAATCACAAAGTCCAATGGCCTAGCATTGAAGGGACACACCAAGATGCAAACCAGTACCAAAATCAGAGAGTAAAAAGTGCCCCTATACTCAAAGCCAAGACCCTTTTCAGAGTTTCAAATGCAGAGGGAAGAATCTTGTACATCCTGAGATGGCAGCAAATCTTCTGCATGCATACCTGACTACATTCCAATCAGGAGACATATCAACAGGCAGCTCAGTGCAGCCTCAGCGCCCGGGCCCTGTGCTGGTCAGACAGCTCAGCAGCAGACCCAGTGCTGCTAGTGCAGCTCAACTGCCAGTCATCTCTCAGGACTCCAGAGCTGCTGTCAAGAATCCAGTAGATATTGAAGGCCACTCCCTTTTTAGACTGAGGTGTGCCTGGGAGCACAGGGAGGAGCTGGCCAACTGCTTTTGTCATATTTTCACATGCACTCCACCAGCAATGCCGAGACTGCATCTAAACTGCAGGCGTAAAGCTGGGGCTGCAGTGGGCCAGCTTGTAACTGTGATGGGGTCAATAGTTAGGAACTAGGACTTACATGAATACCAAGGGAACCATAGTTTCCCCATTTCTTCTCTGGAAGATTTAAGTAGCTGAGGTAGAGAACAATCCAGAAGAGGTTTTATTAACTGCTGAAAGATGAAGCTAACTTCACCTCAGTCTATCCTTGTGACCTCACGTCAAGGCAGATCATACAAAGGGATCACTGAAGTATGAAGGGTTAATCCACCTTAACGACGACCTGCAAGAAGGTGGTTGTCTGGCACGTTCCTTCATATAGCTATTAATACCCAACTGTGGGTAGAGAAAGAACAAAGTTGGATAGCTAGCCAATCAGGGAATACCACATGGAGCTAGGTATCTTAAAATTTTTAATCTACCATAAAGCAGCAGGACAAACTCAGTTCATTATCCTAGCAGAGGGTGGAAACTAAGATTTTAATATGTAAGATACACTCAGCAAATCTATAGCTAAGATCTGTGCACTTTATTGTCTATAAACTTGACCTTTCTAAAGAAGTTTGCTTTATTTGAAACTAAGTAAAACAGCAAAACAATTCAACTGCTGATTCATTCTTCAAATGCCACCACAACCGAGTCTAGACCCTCATCAAAGTTAGGTGTCCAAGACACCATGTGCATCCCTGGAGAGGGAGGACCCAGGCAGCTGGGAAATCACCTGCCGCCCCCAAGGTAGTCCATTAGCAGGAAGCTGGACTGGAAGCCGAGCAGCCAGCCCGGATTTGAACCCCGGCACCATGATAACCGAGTCAAGTGTCTCAAAAGTTACATTACCACTATGTCAATGGCCCACCTCTAGAAATTCTACCTTTAAAAAAGAGCCATAAACAACCCAAAAGATATTTAAAGTTGTGACAATACCTCAAAGATGAATAAAGAAAAAGCAAAGAGTAACAGAATGAAATCAGATGCAATACAGTCTCAGATTCCCTTGCTCGTGTGGCCTCTGGTGGTCGACTTTGGGCTCTGCTGGCCCAGAGGGGATGGAGAGAATTGTGGATTCTGAGGCTTTTCCAGAGGTTCCACGAAGGCAGGTACTTGTTCTTCCAGTTCCGTATCCACCACAGCCTGCAGTTAGCACTCGCAAACAGAACTGGTTTAAGTCCCAGTTCTGTCACTGACTAGCTGAAGAACTCAGAAATAGGCCTTATCTCTGATTTCTGCTTTCTTGCCTGTTTTGATGAGATCATTAGGATCAACCAAAAGTGACTATCAAAGAATCTTTGAAAGCAAGATAAAGCTCATGTTTGCTGCCATTTAATTGAGCAGAACAAGTAGAACAAAACTTCCATCAGTGTTGGTCCATGGGACAAAGTGACAAACACAGCTCAACTAACCATGTATGTTAAAAATGACTCAGAGCAAACTTGCAAGATTGAAGACTCAGAATTAAAATCTCAGGATTACAGAAAAAGCCCCAAGAGTAAACCTTACTTCATCACTCAGAAATTCAACACTGCTTACAAGCCTGACCCACTGAGGCGGCCAGGCTGGCCAGATCTATTTTTAGGGAGCAGTATGAAGTTTACAGAAAACTACATGCCGAGCAACAAGATGACCCTGTCACAGCCAGTTCTGAGACAGGGCAACAGAGAATGGGGCAAAGGCTACTGAAGTTGTCACAAAGTACAGGCTCTCGATAAAGATTCGGTGTCTATCTGTCCCTGAGGAAGTTGGCTAGGTTCTCTGGATCTCTTTGTTCCTGGAAGAAGTGACACGCAAGCCATGACTTCAAACTTCTAGGATGGCATAGGGTCATTTTACAGTGCAGTATTTGACAGCCTGTCCTCATACTTCTTTTCCATACTACTTGCTTTCCCCCTTTTCTAATCAATGAACAATTACTCAGCCTTCAAAGCTATCTTCGAAGAGGTATACATGGCCCTTCCGCTAGCTTGCGTAACATCACTGAACATTACAGCTGTTTTGCAATCCAGTGTACTGTAATGCAGTTTACTAGCCTGTCCTCCTTGAAAGCAGAAAACATGATTCAAAGTTCTCCACAAATGTACACTGACGGAGCACAGGACTGCTTATGCATCCCCGTTCTCCCGCAGCAGCCTGCTGAAGCCTCTAGCCACCTGCAGAGGTCGGAAAGGCCTACCTGGTCTGCACAGGTCTCCATGCTGCTCTTTTTCACTGGCATAAACCTCCATGCACCAAGCGTGATATGCAAATGAGAAGAGATCTTCTATTTTAGCAGGTGGTCGGATCGCATTATTTAGTCTCTTCAGCCACTCTTGACACTGCTCAAAGGTTGAAAACTGACACCTTTGGAAAGTCAAGCAAGTACAAATATTATCAGAAGACAGTTGACAACGAAGCCTTCAAAAGCCAGCATTTCAAGAGTGCTTACTCATAGTCAAGTGGAGCTGCACCGGAGAAGACACCGGAGGCAGTCATTAGCAGATTTATCATCATCTACAAGAAGGCAGGTGTGTGGCCCAGCACTTAAGACGCTGGTTAGAAGGCCCACATCCCAGATTAAAGCACCTGGGTCCAACACCCAACTCCACCCTGTCTTCAGCTTCCTTCTAGAGGCTACACCATGGGAGACAGTGCTGAAGGTACCTACAACTGTTTTTTTTGCCACCCTCTGAGACAAGGACAGAGTTCCCAGCTGGTTCAGTCCTTGCCATCGTGGACAACTGGGGAGTGAACTGTGGATACAATGAAGTTTTAAGAGCACAAAGAGTAATAAATTTCAGCCAATAATGCAAAATATAAAAGGGGAAAAAAGCTGAACATGTGGAACACTGATTTTTCTAACTGAATGAAATGTCTAAGATTGGTGGCTTGTTAAAAAGATCAATTTATTAAAAAGCAGAATGGCAGAATGAAAGGAACCAACAGAGACTATCCAACCACTGGTTCACTTTCCAAATGGCAGCATGCAGACAGGCCTGGGCCCAACAGGAGCGAAGATCTCCATCCTGGTCTCCCACACCATGCAAGGCACCCAAGTACTGGGGCCATCTCCTGCTACCTTCACAGGCACAACAGCAGGAAGGAGAATCAGAAATGGAGCACTTGGGGCTCAAACTAGCACTCCAATGTGAGACTGCAAGCCGAGGCTTAACTTGCTGTGCAAAACTCTGGCCCCAATGAATCACTGAGGTGGCAGCTATTTTTTTAATAATGGGAATTCTGTTCTTGCATCAAGAGCCTCATGTTTTAGAAAAGCCTTGTTTGGGGCCAGTTCAGTATGTTATTCTTCCACCCACAGTTGGAAGCTGGTATTCCATATGAGCACGAGTCCTGGTGGCTCCATTTCTGATCCAGCTCCCTGCTGAAGGCCTAAGGAAGCAACAGAGGTTGATGAAAGTTCTTCGGACCCTGCACCCACATGGGAGACCAAGAAGCAGCTCCTGGATCCTGGCTTTATATTGGTTCAGCACCAGCCACTGAGGCCATTTGAGGAGTGAACCAGCAGATGGAAGATCCTTCTCTCCCCTCTCTGTAAATCTGCCTTTCAAATAGATCTTTGGGGGTGGGGGGTGCCTCATTTTATATTGTCCAAATTAAAGAATATGCTTTATGCTAGAGTGATTTAAAATTGTTTATTACGTGATTAAGATGAATCACCGCCTTCAGATCCCAAGGAGATGACACTGAAACTGATGGAATCATGTGCAGAACAAAGCAATTTCACTGCCAATCAAAATTTCCAGTATATACAAACCTGGGGTCAAAATATCAAGTGCAAACTAATTGGGTATTTGTTTATGTAACTTGCATTTTGGAAAGCAGCACATTTAAAAACCAAGTAACTGTTAAGTAGTCATTCTCAAAAGCCAGCCAAATCTCAGCTAAAAATGAACTTAAACAGTCAAAACCAAGACAGGGATCCGTAGCCTCTCCCTCATCCCAGTGAATGCGCTTCCGGCGCCAGCACACAGGGCTCATCTGTACTCTAGAGTGGGCCACAAAAATTAAGTCAAAACTTACAGAATGTAGAACTCCTAGAGCTACTAAATTCAACATACTAGACCAGCATCATTTTCCAAGCATAAAAGCTTAGAGCAGATAAGTATCACCAACAGGCACTCAACCTACAGGGACATTTTAATAAAGAAGCAAGATGTTTTACACCACCTCAACCTGCCCTGATAGACTTGTTCATTTGCGAGGAAAATTATATGAAAATTAGGTCACATCCAACATCACCACTGATGAAAAGGTAGACCATATGCTTGCAGATGTAAGAAAACCCTACAAAGGACAACACATTACATATGCAACATTCTAGCTCAGACTGCATGATCCAAACCTTGAGAAAGAACTGGACAAACAGGATATAGCAAATATAATATTAAAATACAACATTGTATTCAACATATGAAGCTTATAAAATATCAAGGCAGGCTGTGGAATGCAGTCCACATTAAAGGCGCTACAGCTTCCGGGAGGTGAAACCGTATCTAGGCCCAGCCCTGAGCTGCAGGAGGTGAGACCGGGAGAATCCTGTAAAGGACATCAGGTCAAGAGGCAAAACTGGAGCATGGGCAGCGGCTAAAGGAAGGATCACCAGAGGAAAATTGTGATAGTGACAATGTGGGTATGTGACAGTATCCCTAGAAAGTCTTGGGGCAAAACAAAATTCTTCCGCATGGCATAAAGCAGGAAGAGTTAATAGGTAAATCTAGGTCAAGGGTATATTGGTGTCCTTTGCACTATTTTTGTATCCTTTAAACCTCAAATTATTTCTAATTTTAAAAAACTTTGAAAATCTTGAAACATAGCAAGATATTCTAAAGATAAAATATTTTGCAATAATTGCTCAGAAAATACTCCCTAACAACACTGATCCCCAAAAATGCTTTTGAGAAGTTACTAAACCAATGATCTATTTGTTAAAAAAATATTTTCCCACACTAACTCACAGCACAAACACCACGTACCTGATAACTTTGCAGTCTTTGCAAGTCAAATGTAGTTGAAATATGTCTCGGCATTCAACACTTTCTATAAGCTGCAATGGAACCTGCAATTAAAAAACAAAACTGAAGTCTCTTCCTCAAGAAGGCATTAACCCTGCAGTTCAGTGTACATGGAAAAGATGCAAACAGACTTGCAAATTCATCTGGACCCTCTGTACCCAAACCGTTAACAGTGAGTTAGGGTTTTTCACTTTCCGACTCTAAGGTTCAAGTCATACCACAGCATAAAGACCCCAAGACAATCTACCTCTGGAAGACCAAAGACAGCAAGCAATAAATTCTAAACTCATCCATCTTCTTACTCGTCTCCAAGCACTACTTGGAGATCTAGCAGCTGTCACTGACTTGCAATGACACAGAACAGGAAGCCTGTGTATAGAAAAACTAGAGATCAAAGTACATGTGGGACTAGATCAGTTGTTGGACTCCAACTGACATGATGGGATTACAGCTTTGTTAACATGAACAGAGAATCCTACTGGAAACTTCAGAGGTCTAAACTGCCCACAGAGCACAGGGAAAAGGTGGCATTCTACATGAACACTAGTTCATGTTCTGGCTGCTGCACTTCCCGTATGACTCCCTGCCTGGGGCCTAAGGAAACAGCAGAGGATGGCCCAAGTCCTTGGGGACCTTGCACCCATATGGAAGCCCAGAAGTAGCTCCTGGCTCCTAACTTCAGATCAACTCAGCTCAAGCCTTTTTGACCATTTGGGGAATTAACCAGTGGATGGAAGATCTTTCTCGCTTTCCTCTGCACATCTGCCTTTCAATAAGAATAAATCTTTAAAGATTTATTTATTACAAAGTCATATATACAGAGAGGAGAGACAGAGGAAGATTTTCCGTCCGATGATTCACTGCAAGTGAGCGCAACGGCCGGTACTGCGCTGATCTGAAGCCGGGAACCATAACTTCTTCCAGGTCTCCCACACAGGTGCAGGGTCCCAAAGCTTTGGGCCGTCCTTGACTGCTTTTCCAGGCCACAAGCAGGGAGCTGGATGGGAAATGGAACTGCTGGGATTAGAACCAGCACCCATATGGGATCCTGGCACGTTTAAGGCAAGGACTTTAGCCACTAGGCCATGCCGCCAGGCCCAAGAATAAATGAATAAAGGAAACCTGAATAAACAGTTGAATCAATTGACATTCCTATTCCCTGCAAAGGGGTTGGATCACATGTCTTACATTGCTTCAAGTCCAACAGAAGTGGCTCTGGACAGTTCAGGTAGCATTCCAACAATCCTATTTCACAGAAGAGGGAGGCAGTTTCCAACATGCAAACAAGAAAATGCTGCCTGCACAGAGTGGCACTCCTATTAGCAAAGCCAGTTTCAGGAACATCCTCCCTGCAAACTGCCAGAGTCAGCACTCTCACAACAGTCAGGGGTTCAAACAGATGTGCAGCACTAGAAGTCTGGAACAGAACCTGGGGAAGGGGTTATAGAGCACAGCGCACACACACGCACAAATTACTCAGAGAAATGGCTGACTTTCTATCTCAACACTAGAGTACTTGCACTTCTAGGTCTCTATGAAAATTCCCTTACACGTTCAAAGAGACTAGGAGTGAGAGACTTAAATTTCGCCTGTATTCTGAGGGGGAAAAAAAGCAACTTGTGGCCTTATGTTTTTGTTTAAGTCCTTAACCCCAAGATGGTGTGACCAACTGCAGTTGAGGAGGCTAAAATGCTTCAAGACCTGTATTTTTTGAGGATGTATCAGTAGAAATCAATTACAAATGAGGAATGTGGGGATAAAGATTAGAGGATGGACACTGATTGTTCCCAGGCCAGTCTTCCCAGTGTAATGAAGTCTCCCATCATCTTCTCCCCTCCCACTAACAACCACCTTACTTGGCCTACCCCAGGAAAAAACCAGCTGCCAGACAATTAAGCGATCAATTCACCTCAATTTTATTGAATCTTACCCATTAAAAATCAATCTCCTGGCTTCCTGTCCAAACCTCCAGGCCTATGTTATGCTAGTAACCTCTGGTTTTGTTTGTTTTTTTTGAACCTCAGTCATAACCCAGGAACTCTGAGGCACAGGGCCAGGGTTGGACAGAGTCAGAGCGAATTTACAAATCCACATTGCCAGGCTCTCCCTTAGTCCCAAGTCCTCTTCAACTGTCTTTCCTTCTAGTTAGAAGACATGAGAAGCAGCTCACATCAGCACCTCCTAGGGGCAAATGGGCCACCCTGGGTTCCTCTGCCACTGATACATCCCCGTTGCTAGGCCAGAACAGAACATCTCTGAAGAATTATCTGCTTTCTAAAATGATTGTAATATGCTACTTTCATGTATTTTAACTGAAAATCTAAGGATGAATGAAAACATTGGTTGTTTATGTGTTCAAATTAAGTGGTAAGTACTAGCAAATGACCCAGAACAACCACGCACGCCAACTCACATATGCAGATCTGGATACCCATGCAGGCTGTCACACAGGAAAGGTTAGTATGCAGTAGAATGGTGCCATAAGATACCTCACCCCCATCACATGAGCTCCCTTTTTGGTTTCTTCCTATTCCAGTGTGCCCTCTGCAAGTTCCCTCCAAACTGTCTCCTCTAAAAAGGCACAACAGCCTCTCTTTTTTTTTTTTCTTTTATCCAAGGAAAACATGCTAAGTTTTAAATCCCATCACATTTTTCTAGGTTTCTTAATGTACATTTGAAAAGGAGCTTTTCTGTCTCCAACTTTGCATTTGAGGAAGATTCAAAAGCAAACGAACGAACTAGACATCTCCAATACTTGGCCTCAGAAGCTCCAGACTAAGATTCTAGAGCCAGCTCACTTCACAGCGGGAGAAGGTTCAGCTACCGCATGGGGAGCTAGTAGCAAAGCCAGGGACGGAATCCACAGCGAGTCTTTGGCTCAGGCAGCTGCTTCACCTACATGGTGTACCACCTTCTTACCAATTGTCCTTATCTGAGTTTTTTCCATCATAAATTAATCAGTCAGATCTTCAAGGGGAAAACAGAATTTAAACTTAAGATTCCTGGCAGGCAATTCCACATATTGCAGATTAGTAAGAAATCCTAATCACCGTCAGTGTCTCGAGCGCAATGATTTAACATCCTATTAACAGTTCATTTTTTGTCCCTTTTTCTTCCTTCTTCACACCTGCCAGCTAGTTTTACCTTTGTAATGTTTTTTCTATTATAACTTCTATCAAACATGTAAAGAACTTTACTGATGCTGTTATTCAAAAAGCAGACTGTTCTATCACAGCCACCAGAATCTGTAAGAAAAAAATCAAGCCCAAAATGAAAACCAGTGCCTCAAATTTTTAACAAACATGTACATGTATTAAAGATTCAAAATGAGGCACACATTGTGGCACAGCAAGTTAAGCCACCATGGGGACACTCACATCCCATATCATTGTCTATTTCACAAATTATTTCTGGTGCAAACAGTGTTTTTGAAGGTCATAATCCATTCTGCTTACATATAAACTGAGGCTTCATCTTTGCCCCACAAATTGTCCTCCTGAAGGCATTCCACTAGAGCTTTGGTAAGAAATCCACACAGATGGGACACATGTTGCTGACTTGCAAGATGAGCATCTGACACTGAAAACCAATCTGCTCCAAGCACAGGCACAGCCACCATCTAGGAATCTCATGCCTACTCACTGGATTTCAGAAGCAGTAGCTTGGGAAGCAGTCTATTGAAATATACAAACATCATGCTTCAATTTCTATGAAATCTACTTGAATACTTGTAAACTGTCTAATATTAAAATATACGTATATACATGTAAACACAGAATTGAAGCAATCCAATGTTTCAGATGCAACACATGAGCTCCACTACAGATAAGCTTTACCCTACAACTGGAAGCTTGGCAGGCAGCAAACGTGTGGACTAGAGTCATGCCTGTACCTACAACTACACACATTTTACCCAATGTGCTGGGAAATTAAATAACACGGTATCAGGTAACTGTTTAAAACCTGGTGCAAGACACTTTCTGAAGCACTAAATGTGCTGGCTTAAGGACACAAAGGGATGCAAACTGGGCCGTAACTACACAGGCTAGCACTTTTGGGATCTGCCAGTTTAAACACTTAATTTAGACGTAACAATCTAACAGGGGCTTACTTGGTCCATACATTTCACTGAAATACGCATCTGTAGAATGAAGGAAAGCAGCAAGGGCAACGTTGCCAACTCTGTCTACCCAGGACCGCGTGCAGGGGCAGTCACTGTTAGAGTAAACCCAGGTTTCTGAATTCCTGGTTTGTTAGCTCAGCATCAGCTGGGTTAAAATTGATTCCGATGGAAAACCTCTAGTCTCTCAACCCAAACTTTCCTTCACTACAATGTCCCAATACTTAGGCATTTTCTGTGCAAACTCCTTCTCTTCGGTTTTTTAAGTGGCATGCAAGTTTTATACACATAAGCTGGTAACAGCATGCTAACAAAAATGAGGACAGTAGGAAAGACAGCACTGAATTCCCCTAAATGCTGTTGGTATCTCAATCAAAATTATGGACCAACAATGGCAATAACCAACTTATATACTACCTGTACAAATGATGGCCCAGACCTATTCATGTAATATTTCACTTAGTATTTGCTGAGTATCAAGCTAATAGGAGACAATGTGAATCCTGGCGTTACAACATACCTAGAAAATATTGTAAAGGTATATTCAAGATAAAGATTGGGGCTGAGAGGTCTAGCTGCTAGGCTATTGCACTGAAGCCCTCATGTTCCCAGGATCCCATGCGGGCACCAGTTTGTATCCCGGCTGCTCCACTTCCCATCCAGCTCCCTGCCTGTGGCCTGAGAAAGCAGCCGAGGATGGCCCAAAGCCTTGAGACCCTGCACCCATGTGAGAAACTTGGAAGAGGCTTTGGCTTCAGATCAGCTCAGTTCCAGCCGTTGCGACCACCTGGGAAGTCAGCCAGGTGGTCTTTCCAAAAAAAAATAACTAAGTCTTTAAAATAAAAAATAAAAATAAATAAATTTTTTTAAAAAGGTAGGACTTGGAAGTGTTATTAACTGCCAAAGAACTGGTATTGAGGAAGGCTTCAGAGTAAATTAACACCTAAATCAAAGTTTTGGCCAAGGAAGAGGAATTCCCTGGGCCGGACAACAAAGAGAATTCAGATCTATGAAGTATGCCTCAGTGGTCTAGAAAGGCTGACTGCACTGGTCCAAGGAGGAAAAGGCAGGGTAGGAGAACTGCAAACAAGAAGTGTCAGGGAACAAAGAACACCAACAGCCTCACATCATGCTGTTGGACCTTCAGTTTAGAAGCATGGCAGGAACGCTGAAGCGCTTTCAACTGCTGAATGACTGGATTCTTTCCCCCAAAAAACCCTGTCCAAGCAGATCCAATAGTTACTGAAGTACCTGGCCATAAACCAATGCGCTAATACAGAGACCAAGAGGATATGAAACTATGTTAAGAGGATATGAAACTATGTAATTCCCATATCTAATTATACAAGTTCATCGACAGTATCCATGTAAAGAATGCCAGGATACAAAGATGGGCGATTCTGTCAAGCATCACTACTTCCCCAGCAGCCGACAGAGAACATTTGGCTACTGGGATTTTGTTTCCAGCCTAACCCTACCATCACGTCAACCAAATGGAAAGGAAACCTTCAGAACACAGTGCCAGAGACGAAGAACACCAGGACACTTCCCTTGGATGAACTGATGTGTCTTTTTAGCTAATGGACAGAAAACTGGTTTAACAGCTATAATCATAGCCCAAAGCTTGAAGGCAAGAGGAAGTCAGGCCAAATTGGCAATGGCAGCCCGATTAAAAGTGCTTAAAAAAAAATATTAATCGATGAGTATCAAGTGCTGAAGCAGCCACAGGCAGAAAGCCACAGTAATGGCAGAAGATGAAGACAGCATTCATTTGGTGGAAGGACAAGCCATTCTGGGCCTTTGGGGTTTCACTAAGGTGACTACCAGGAGTAACGCACTGGAAGAACCAGCTCACACAAAGGCCACTCATAACCGAGAAGGCGAAGTGCACTCCCGATAGCTCAGTCTCTTCAATACTGCGTAGCCCATTATGCCAATACACATTATACTTAACATCTCTTCTTAAATGATTAAGGAGCCATTAGAGTAACTGCATCCTATAATGACAGTCTGCAGTGAGCTCAAAACACATCTCATCATTTGATATCAAGGTCCAGGAAATTAGCTCAACTGAAGCAGCTGGTATCTAAAGACTGAGAAATCAAAAGCTATTGTTGAGCCTTTCTATCTCTATAGAGGTTAACTAGGCAGCATGACCCAGTGCCAACCATTCCGGATTAACAACACACACCTCCACTGACAAGCACACGCAGCACATCAAACACGAGCGCTGCTTGCTAACCCAGAACCCCCAAGTGTTCCAGTGAGAGGCCAGCAGGGCACACTTGACCTGCTACATTCAAGGGCACTTTCCTCTGCTCAGGAACTGACCAAGTTTAACTTTCTCCCATCCATCCCCGGGGGAGATACAGTTTTCACTTACATTAACGACAGACTCCTTGAACTTGATGTGAAGTCTGTAATTAGAAAGGGCAATAATGGCGTCCTCAGCACGGCCCACGTACTCTGTGCTCTCTCCATGGAGCTCAAAAAACGGAACCTTCAAAAGCAAAGAAATCCGTCAGCCTTCTGAAGCAGGGAAGCGGTTTTCAAACACAGGTGAGGAAACTGGACCATTCTGACTTTCAAATTCCAGTCACAGTATGTAGCTATTATATTATCTGCCGTCTACTCACATGTGCTAGCTATTTCAATTCTAACCTAAAGGATGAACACAGCAAAGATAACAAAGAACTGAGAAGTAAGCACAGTGGCCTAACAGCCTAATCCTCTTCCTCCAGTGCCAGCAATCCCACAGGGGCACCGGTTTGTGTCCTGGCTGTTCTGCTTCCGATCCAAATGCTTGCCTACAGCCTGCGAGAGCAGCAGAGGCGGTTCAAGCACTTGTGCCCCCATACCCACGTGGGATACCAGGAAGAAGGGCCCAACTCCTGGTTTCAGACCAGCCCAGCTTCAGCTGTTTACTGCCATTTGGGACGTGAACCAGCAGATGGAAGAGCTCTTTCCCTCTGAAACACCTACCTTAGAAATAAAAATCTCAAAGTAAAACCAATTCACCAAGAAACAGAAGCAAAAACCCAGTTTACATATATAGATGTAGGATTTAGTTACAATAGACTTTGTGCTGTATCACCTCGATCCATTAGTGATATCACACTATTCTGCTAAATTGTTTTATGAAAGCTCGCCAGTAGTTACCTGAAGATTCTCATCCTCCCGGATCAGCTGCTTCCTGGGAAAGATCTGATTGGCCTGGATGCACTCAAGCCTGTGCCGAGTCTCTTCATCCTAGAGAAGGAAAGCCTTTACTTCATTTCAAAGCTTCTAGGCATCCATGTTTATTTTGTCATGTCTAGTAGCATAAACACAGTAAGAACAAAGATGATCAAAAAGTTTGAGGGAAAGTATATTCCAAGTAGTATTCCACCCACTCCTAGTCTGACAGCACACTGATGCCAAAAAATGAAGAGGTTAGAACATTTCTATTAGGCAGTGATAAGTTGTTAGTACATTAGTTATATAAAAAACTATGGTGCTTGTGTCTTTAAGCTAGAATTTAATTCTTATTTGTGAAAGGTATCTTGAACTATTTAAGAATGAGATGTGTGGGCCCAGCGCGATGGCACAGTGGTTAAGGTCCTCGCCTTGCATGCCCAGGATCGCATATGGGTGCCGGTTCTAATCCTGGCAGCCCCGCTTCCCATCCAGCTCCCTGCTTGTGGTTCGGGAAAGCAGTCAAGGACGGCCCAAAGCTTTGGGACCCTGCAACCGTGTGGGGGACCCAGAAGAGGCTCCTGGCTTTGGATTGGCTCAGCTCCAGCCGTTGCGGCCGCCTGGAGAGTGAATCATCGAACGGAAGATCTTCCTCTCTGTCTCTCCTCTCTGTATATCCGCCTTTCCAATAAAAATAATCTTTAAAAAAAAAAAAGAATGAGATGTGATGTTGGAGTTTACCTCGACAAAATTAAGGAGATAGGAAGAATGGGGTATGAAGTGACAGCAGGATTGCCCATAAATTGACAACTGGTAAAACGTAGGGCATTAAGTGACAGCTCACTGTAGTAACTTTATTTCCCTCAGTTACACGTGAAGTTCCCATAGCAAAAAACTTGGAAAAGGTGTTTAGCAGTAAGCTTAAGAACTGAATTTTCTTAGTTGAAAATACACATGAATCACTATCCCTAATTTTCTCTGCCATTAAAGCAGATGTTTTTTTATTAACACCATTTCAAAAGAAATGCAAAGCTCTCATCTAAATGGCATTTAAATGGAACTAATAACTTGTATTAAAAATTGTGTAATTATACATTTTTATCATAGCAATAGAGAAATGTCTGAGAGCGTGATTATAAATTATAAGAAATTACTTTGTAAACAGATTTCTTCAAACAGCAAAAGCCATATCATGCTCAACTGACAGAACTAGAACTTCTAACCACTAGTTACCAAATGTATCTGGATACATCACTTAGAATCCTAACAATTCTGTAACTTTTCAAAGAGAAATCCAACTTATAAATACTTAAATCACCATAGTGTAACTCAGCCATACTCTCAGGGTGATTCTCAAAATCTGTTGACTCTAGACCCCTAGACAGGCCCTTTGAGGCCAAAGCCACCTGCAGAACAGTAGTAAGCCAAGGCTGCTGTGACATACCAGGTTAAGCTGGCTCTTGGGGTGCCCGCATCCCATACTGCAGTGCCCAGGGCTAAACCTTGCCTTTGCTCCCTATCCAGCTTACTGCACGCAAGCATGGGAGGCCACAGCTCAAGCACACTCCTGCCGCCCAGGTGGAGAACCAGGCCAAGCCCCAGCCCAGCAGCTTCAGTCTGGTTCAGCCCAGTTAAGGGCTCCTGGGGAAAGAATCTATCCTGGAAACAAAATTACAAGTATAAAGACATTATCTGCCTAGTCTTCACTGCACTCTTACTGCAGAAATAGTGAAGAACCGGTGAGTAAAACTTACTTACCAGTCAAGACAATATCATTACTTTCACTAAGAACGACTTAGTGAAAGATCGAACTCTGCCTTTCAAATAAATCTTTAGAAAAAAAAATCCAACTATTTTTCATTCTCAATAGGCAAGCTTTCACTTAAAGACACCTAGTATTTATACTTACAGAGAACTAAAAAACATGGTCAATTCTAACAGAAAGTAGATAGGAAATACTATGAAATGTGAGGTAGGGATGGACTAAATTCTTACATAGAATTAAATTTTGAGCATACCTTCTTTAAATCACAGCAAGTCATTTTTAAGTATATAGATGTAGAAGACCTGAATCTTCACCATCTTCAAGATCCTTTTACTGAGGTACCCATCATCTCTTAAAATCATTCCCTGATCTGGCTTTCTGCTGGCTTTCAAACAGCACAGGATTGAAACACAGCCGACTTGTTAAAAATTACAGAAGCCAAGACCAGCACCACAGCATAGCAAGCAAGTTTAGCCAACTCCTACACTGGAATCCCATAGAGGTGCTGTTTCATGTCCTGGCTGCTTCACTTCAATCCAGCTTCCTGTTAGTGGCCAGGGAAAGGCAGCTGAAGATGTCGCAAGTGTTTGGGTCCCTGAAATCTATGTAGGAGACCTTAATCAAACTCCTGGTTCTTGGGCCCAGCTCGATAGCATAATGGTTAAGGTCCTCGCCTTGAACGCCGGGATCCCACATGGATGCTGGTTCTAATCCCGGCAGCCCTGCTTCCCATCCAGCTCCGTGCTGTGGCCTGGGAAAGCAGTTGACGACGGTCCAAGGCATTGGGACCCTGCACCTGAGTGGGAGACCCGGAAAGAAGTTCCTGGCTCCTGGCTTCGGATCAGCACAGCACCAGCCATTGTGGCCACTTGGGGAGTGAATCAGACAGAAGATCTTCCTCTCTGTCTCTCCTCCTCTATGTACATCTGTCTTTGCAATAAAATAAATCTTCAAAAAAAAACTCCTGCTTCTTGCCTGGCACAGCCCTGGCTGTAGCCAACTTAGGGAGTAAAGCAGCACATAGAAGACCTCCATCTCTGTCTCTCCCTGACTTTCAAATGAATAGATATTTAAAAAAACCATTTACTTGTTCTTGTTGGCACTATCCCAAAGAACTTAACGTAAGTACCACCTAAGCACTGACTTTCTAGAACAAGGATAAAAGTTACTTTGCCAAGGAGCTGTTGTTGGCAGACAAGTTAACTGCCTGAATTTATTCACGTTTCTGAGGTTCACAGGCTATTTAAAAAACAGATCGACCAAACTTGAGATGGTTGATAGAGTGGGGAGTTGGGAATGGGTAGCCTGATTAGAGTTCTGGAACTCGTTTTCTCCTACGCTGTGAACAGTAATCATCAGCATTAGAGAATACAGTCCTCCACATGGCTGGCTTCCTGGAATTACTGAGGAATGGCAGGCATTGTGAACCTAACATTTCTTAGTCTCCACCCAGTTCTGTCAGATCAGCAGGGTCACCCACAAAATCCTAGAAGAGCCATCAGTTTACAATTCCAAACTCATTTCTACTGCAATCTTAATTATGCATATTACGTTTTTAAGTAATTAATTTTCCTTGAAATTTTGTCTGGAATTTGAATGCCAAGAGAAGGACAGAATGAGGGAAATCAGTTAAGAGAAGCAATAAATTGATTACGTCTGAATGACGTCCCTGGAGACTTCTTTGTGCAGGCTCAATACTTTCCCGTAACACATGAAAATATTTCCTACTGTTTAGCCTGTCCAAGATGGACTCCAAAATCAGGTAAGAATTTTGAAGAGTAGAAACAATTGAATGCTACTGTCTAGTTAGTACAGAGGGATACATTAAAAACCAAGTTCAGGGCCTGGCACGGCGGCATAGTGGCTAAAGTCCTCGCCTTGGATATGCCGGGATCCCATATGGGCACTGGTTCTAATCCCAGCAGTTCCATTTCCCATCCAGCTCCCTGCTTGTGGCCTAGAAAAGCAGTCAAGGATGGCCCAAAGCCTTGAGACCCTGCACCTGTGTGGGAGACCTGGAAGAAGTCCCTGGCTCTGGATCAGCACAGCACTGGCCGTTGCGCTCACTTGGGGAGTGAATCAGACGAAGATCTTTCTCTCTCTCCTCTCTGTAGATCTGACTTTGTAATAAAAATAAATAAATCTTTAAAAAAAAAAAAGTTAAATGCCCCTGAATTCACTACACAAAAACTTAACAATGGATGCACAGAGTCTAACGGATAAGAATATGCAGCACAGTTAAATACAGCAACTTGCAAAACATTATACAACTAGTGAAATTATTAGTAGGCATTTAATGAATCGGTATAGGACAATGTTTAGTGAGACAAGCCAAACAAATTATGTTCTTCTAATTACATGAAATGCATACAGAATGCAGACAGCAGGGGTTTAGCGTAGTATTCTAAATGAAAAGTCAAGCATTATAAAGCTGCTCTTTAAGAAAAAAAGTTGCGTGGCCATGCTGTTCTCAACTATCGCACACAAAAGCAGCAGAGCGTATCTGCAGTACAGACAGGCAACCAAGCAGGCAGGGCTGTCTGCAGGGAACCAGAGATCCCATCAACACCAGGAAGTAGAACATATTGTTGCTATTAGGCACACAAAGGTACAGAACAGGGCTGCTTTCAGAAGCCCTTCGTTTGCTGTTCATTAGCACTGGTGCAATCAAATATACTATGCAAATATTTCTTCAATTCACTGAAGATTCTATGGAAAACCCAATAAAACATTGCTTACGGAAATAGCAAGAGTCCATCAATATTTGTATATGAATAAATGAAAAAAAGTAGTCCTTTCAAAGGCAGTAATAGTTCTCCCTTTTATGTAATATTTCTGTACTAGCTTGGGTTTGTTTTTAATTTTTGAAAATGCATTTTTCACACATATCCCTAATGAAGCTTGAAATTAATATGGTCTTATCAATTCCTTCTTCGTGCCTTAGCATCAAACAGTTTGGATGCAGGAAATATCAGGCAGAAGTAGAACATTATACACAGTCACTTCTCAAGCCCTGAAGCACTGTTCCCAGGTCCTCCAACTGATGAAAATGGACCTGGCTCATCGTTGCATCCCCTCGGCCCGGATGGGCTCAGGAAGACCAGCAAGGCGGTGAGACGTCCATTACAGGCTCTATTTGGCCAGAGGCAGGCAAGTGTGCGGAGCAGCAGATCAGAATATTTTACAAAGTCAAGACCTGCTCCAATCCACAAAGTTAAATTCATTAAAGATGTGTGCCACGAGGGGCAGTGCTTAGGTTAATAGCTCAGTTGGCCGCTCCACACTATTGATACATTTCCAACATCGCACTATATACACACACATTTTTGTCAACTTATGAAATGCCTTTATTAGAACATGCATTGAATCTCAGTTCTACACAAAGGCATACAGATTTTTAACACATCACATTTTGTAGGAAATGAATGAGTAAATTATGTGGAGTCCAAGAGCCACGTGTTACTTTTGACCAGCTGACTTAAAGGGGCAGTTAACAGAAATGAAGCCACTCCGTAGTTATTGCTATTAGGTACACAAAAGAGGTGAGCAGAGAGTTCTGGGGAAGGGAAAAATTGTTTAATCAAACCAGAAATGAGTAACTGAATTTATTAGTGTTTACTTAAGATATAGGTCCACGCCAATTTTCTTATTTCCTGTGCTTACCATGACAGGAAGCCCAGATCAAGAGAGATCCCCGGTCTGTCTTCTGTGTCTAACAAGGCTCTTCTGTCCGTCAGGCTGAAATCTTCACAAAACAGAGGGACAGAGCAATCAGAACACTGTATATGCGGGAACCTAAAATCCTGACCACAGGCAGGAGGAGCTCAATTCCCACCCGCCCAACCCCCGCCAAGAATATTCCCAACTCAGTAACACCTTCATACCAATCCTCCCAGTCTAAATCTAGCTCTGCCAAAATCGTAAGAACTCACAGTCCTCTATTGATAAAACAAGAAATGCTGCCAAGTTTGGATAAAAAGTTGTTATTTTTCAGGATGTTCCTGTGATTATCTGTAAATTCCAAGTCAATCTTCCCTTCTGTGGGAACTGCACTGACTCAGGCATTCAAAAACTCAACACCAATCTAGAGTCACCTGAGAATTTGTTAACTGCACTAATATCTAGCTGTTATTTTTGTTTCATTTGAAAGGCAGGAAGAGGGAGATTTTTATGCTGGTTCACATCCTCTATGCTGTCATGGGAAATATCCGAACACACAAGTATCTTTTCAGTATCACTTAAACAATTTAATTCAAAGCTAGCATTGTATCTTGTCAAAGTAGTTCTTACAACCATGACATCCCATATTTGAGAGCCAGTTCAAGCCCTATCTGTTCCGCTTCCCATCCAGCTCCCTGCTAACATGCCCGGGGAAGGCAGTGGAAGATTGAGTTCTTGAAGTTCCCATCACCCACATGTGAGATGCAGATGAAGCTCCAGGTGCCCGATTGCTGGCTGCTGGATGTGGCAAGGGGTGCTGGGCGGGGTTTGTACTGGGCAAGAAGTCTGTTTCCTACAGGAGTCCTTAGGCTTGAGCTCCAGTTTCAGCTTCCTGCTAACAGACCCTGGGAGGCAGTATGGCTCTATAAGTTGGGTCCCTGCCAGTCAAAGGACACTGGGACTGAGTCCCAAACTCCAGCTCTGGCCGCATTCTAGCCCTGAGAGGCATTTAGGGTGCGAGCTTAACCTGTCAACAGGAATTCAAGATTTTTAAAGTTCATGGAAAATGAAGAGCAAATTTGAAAGCCATGCACACACGGTGTCTTGAAAATTAGTGAGAAAAGATTATAAAAACCAAACAGCTTTGCATTTTCACACTTTCTATTTCATGTTCCATGATTTAACTACCCCAATATCCAAGTCAGCTACCCAGTAATATCATGAAAGATTTGTTACTTCATATCAAATAACAGTATCAATAAATTCAGTTCTCACTCAGAAATGAACCCTTCCATATCTGTAACAAATTCTAACAGGGTGCACTGCACTTCAGTCTAGAATTGCCCAAGGAACTGCTGCTGTGGCTCCATGTTAGGCTAAGCAGAAATCAAAGAAATACATGATTCCATCCTGACCATGGGGCCCGGACTGTGGTGCAGTGCTGAAGTTACTACCTCAGATGCTGGCCTCCCGCAAGGGTGTTGGCACGAGTCCCCCAGCTGCTCCACTTCTGATCCAGTTCCCAGCTAAGGTACCTGGGAAAGCAGCGGAAGACAGCGCAAGTGCTTGGGCCTCTATTCACCTGGGAGACCAGGAACAATCTCCTGGCTCAGCTCCAGCCATTGTGGCCATCTGGTGAGTGAACCAGATGAACCAGCAGATGAAAGATCTCACGAGCATATTCTTACTCTCATCCTCCTTCCCTTCCTCCTTTTCTGCTTTTCAAACAAATGCGTAAATCTGAAGAACAACCAGGGCCCAGTGCGGCAGCCTAGTAGCTAAAGTCCTTGCCTTGAACATGCCGGGATCCCATACAGGTGCCGGCTCTAATCCCAGCTGCCCCTACTTCCATCCAGCTCCACTTGTGGCCTGGGAAAGCAGTCAAGGATGGACCAAAGCCTTGGGACCCTGCACCCACATGAGAAATCTAGACGCGGCTCCAGGCTCCTGGCTTCAGATTGGCTCAGCTCCAGTCATTTCGGTCACTTGGGGAGTGAATCAGCTGATGGAAAATTTTCCTCCATCTCTGTATCTGACTTTCCAACAAAAAATTTTAATAAGAACCAGATAGCAAGACCTTACAGAAACAAAGCCAATAGTTGCCTAGGGCTGGGGCAGATACAGGCTAATGAGCAGACAGGTAAGGGATATTTTTATTTCAAAAAGGAATTCTATAAGTACTAAAACTCATTATGGTGATGGCTGCAAAACTCAACACACAAATTACTGAATTAGACATTTTAAGCGGGTCAACTGTACATTAAGTTGTATCTCAGTAGCTTTCAACTTCATATGCAGAAGTAATCTTCATTGTTTCCCTTCAATTTATCTATATTTGAGTGCAAGTAATGTGAACTTTGGGCTTTATGCCCAAATACTTCTCTATCCATATACAAACGTAACTTACTTCCAAGAATGTAAGATTATATTTAATGTCCTATAACTTCATTTTATTCAACTAATACTTAAAGTCCCTCCTACCTCAGCACATGCTTCTAGAGAGTTCAAAATTTTTCTGCATTCCAATACCCTGTAACAATCATTTCTCAACTGATGAAATACTCAGGCTGCTTCCGCGTTCCATCATTCCCATTCTTGTCTGTTATGTGCACAAGTCACAACTTCTGTGCTGATTCTTACAAATTAATGTATCAGATGAAAAGATACCAGCATTGGGAGGAAATGCTGGGATACTAACGCCAAAGACTGCACGAACAAGGACAATCACAAGGTCTATAGAAAAAGGAAAATGAGGGCCAGTGTTGTGGCACAGGTCAAGCTACCACCTACAATCCAGTATCCCATAGGATCACTACTGCAGGTCCTGGCTTAATACACCTCCCCATTACTGTGCCTGGGAAGGCAGCCAACGATGGCCCACACGTTTGGGCCTCTGCCACCCATAGTGAAGACCTACAAGGAATTCCAGGCTCCTGGCTTCAGCTTTGACCAGCCCTGGCTGTTATGCGCATTTAGGGAGTAAACCAGCTGATGGAAAAATTCTTAAAAACAGGTTATATTCATTTATAAGAAGGAGGGAGGGTCTTGGTGTGGGAGATGCCCTGCTACCTGGGGGAGTGGCCTAAACCTTACTTCCCTATTCCTGAAGCACAGCTCCCAGGCCTTCACATGGAGTGTGACCTCCGACAATGCTAGGTCAAGGGGAATACACATGGAACATGACCTCTGACATGACCGAAAGGTCAAGGCAAACAGACAAGACATTGTCTTTGGTGGGCAGAGTTTGGGGGTCTGCCTGAAGACTCCCTCCTGCCCTCCCCTTCCTGATTCTAACAGCTGTAACCTGTGAATAAAGCTGGCATTCCTCACCAGCTGGTCTCCAGAGCTTATGACCAAAGAGCGCCCTCACCTCACCCTCTGACCTTGGGGCCTGCTGGCAGGCCTAAACCACGAGAACCAGGCCCATTTAAACAATGTTCCCTTCCCTCAAAATGAATAAATACTTCCACATCTTATTCTCCAAATCTATTCTTTCTCTAAATTTAGACCATATTTCTTCATGTGCAAATCTGACATTTTTCCATCCTATTTTGTCAGGAAAGTCTTCCATAGTTTTCCTATAGATTGATTCTAAAGTTAAAAAAAGATAAACACATTATGGTGATATAAATATTAAACACTGCAAAGTCAAGCGGATGTCAGAGTTCTATTTCACCTCCAGACGCAAATGAAAGGTAAAACACTCCTAAGTCAGGGCCAAGTTTCTACTTTTGTAATAAGTACGTGGACAGCAGGAACCTTCAGGTTCTCTCATTTCCACGATGCCAACACTCCAACCATCTACACAAGCAAAGCATCATGTACCTTTCCTAACTTTACTTGCATAGAGTAGTAACTCAACCAGCTAAGATTCTGAGCAACGTGGGCTACAAACACAGGATCCTTCACTTGACAGAAAGAAGCACAGTTAGCCAACTTAAAAAGATTCTGCTCCCCTCAATCTTAAAGCCCAAACTAACAGAAATTTATACTGAGCAGGCAGGGGTGTGCTCAGACTCAGTTTTTGCAGACACTGACCACTCAAGCATCGGCATCTGAACACCTTTAGGGTATAAACAATTAAGTAGAGGTGAAAACTGAAGTGTTGGGGCAGAGTGACAAGATGTAGAAACAGGATTCCAGAAGCAAGCTTTGGAGAGTTTTGTAGCAGACTGGAGAGAGCCAGTCAAGAAGCTCCCCCAAATGGATACACAGCAGGTCAGTGCGGCTACAAGAGGCACGCCACGTGCATACGGAGACACGTGTCCAGCAGTGGATGCATCTAAGGCCACTTGTGAAGAACATGTGCTCAGGAGCTTAAGCCTTGTTTCAGAAGCAATGGTGAACAAAGGAAGCAATGTGGATTTAGAAACATACCAACTCTTTTCAGTAATACTGTGTACTAAATCCCTAGGTTAAGCCAATGGCAGAAGCAAGGGTTAGTAATCGAGATGTAGTAGGAGACAAGCCTATGAAAACCACACACTGCGAGACAGGACAGGAATTAACATCCACCAGAGAAGAACAGCCATTTTTACAGAACTTTTCCTCATATACCAAATGGGAATCCCTAGTCCAAAATGCTACATGTTTCCAAATCTGAAACTCTTAAAACCCCATGTAGAAATTTGCACATCTGTTCTCATGAACAACTGCCATCAAAATATAAAGATACAGCATTTTCTTACAGGTACACATTGACCTAAAGTAAACAATTTAAAGGACCTCCAGTTTGACAGACTATTTTAGATAAAACATTCTAACTTTATCATGCAAGTTTTCTGACACCAGAATATCATATTACAGGACAACCTACATATGGAAGGAATAACTTGATCAGTATTCCAGTTTAAAAAAACACTAAAGGCATTCAATTGAACGCAATTTATCTACATAAATACATGCAATCACAACGTCAAAAGTCTAAGTTGCTCTTGCCTTACCTCAAAATAGCAGAGTGCATAAAAGGGGGGGAAAGAGTGTACTAGGGCCAGCACTGTGGCATAGCAGGTAAGGGCACCACCTGCAATGCCAGCCTGTTTGTCCTGGCTACTCCACTTCTGATCCAGCTCCCTGCTAATCATCTGAGAAAGGCCCCAGAGGATGGCCCAAGTACATGGGCCCTGCCACCCATGAGCCCAGGATGAAGCTACTGCCTACAGCCTGACAATGCTGACTGCTGGGGACATCTGGAGAGTGTACTGACAAACACTCAAGTAAGTATTTAAAAAAAGCTTACCAAATGAAGTTTGGCCCAAGAACTTCACTGGAAGGTTTCACAAGGAAATCTGCAACAACAAAAAAACCAGCTGTTTTATAATGACAGAAACCCTAAAAATCAAGTTAAGTCACTTAGATCCTCCAAGGCGTCTCTATGCACACTAGAATGCCAGGAAAACAGATTTTTAAAGTGTTTAAAATGGGGCCCAGCACAGTAACCTATTGGCTGAAGTCCGTGCCTTGCATGCACTGGGATCGTACATGTGCACCAGTTCATATCCCGGCTACCCCACTTCCCTTCCAGTTCCCTGCTTGTGGCCTGGGAAAACAGTTGAGGACGGCCCAAAGCCTTGGGACCCTGCACCTGCGTGTGGGATATCTGGAAGAGCTCCTGACTCCTGGCTTTGGATCATTGCCGTCACTTGGAGAGTAAACCAGCAGATGGAAGATCTTTGTCACTCCTCTCTGCAAATCTAACTTTCCAATACAAATAAATCTTTGAAGTGTTTAATAAGTATACTATTCAGTCAACCAGACTACCCAGAATGGGTCCAGTCAGGTCTTAGCACATCTTCAGAAACTGCACATCTGTACAAAACAGCTTTCCAAGGAACCTGCAGTATTCCACTTTTACATCTTTCAGTTTGTTGGAGAAAACTTGGCCGTTACAGCAACAGGCGTATTTTAAAACTAACATCATAGTCACTCTGGCCAAGTGATCTTGCAGTTTAAGACAGAAGCAAGGGGAATATAATTAAACACATTGTCACAACTAGGCAATATGACTTCTAAAGAGGTACAAGATTCACACCTGAGTCACTTATGATTTCCATAAATACTTACACATTATCTGTCCTTTTGGACTGATTGTAAAAATGACAAAGTTGTAAAAATGAATTATTCCAAATATACCTAAATTCTAAAATTAAGGTGTCAGTAAAATACGGTAATTCTTACAACCTCCAGAAACACTGACAATCAAAAGGAAAACTAAATATGCAAGAAGAAATGTTTGTCATTTTAAAAGTCATACTTTTGTCTCCAACAACTTATGATTTGAATTTAACTCAGGCCATATTACTTAGCATGTAAGAATTAAAAACTATACATACTTTGCAACTTCAGATACAAACTGTACTTGACACATGGCGAGATTAAGAAAAATAGGAGAGATAACAAGGGCTCCTATTCATGGAAAAATCATTTCTGAGAAACAGAAGAGGGGAGGGTGTCGAGAGCCTGTCTAACGTTCCAAGACCAGAAACACAGGTCACGGCCAACCGCGGGCAGGTGATCGGCAGGGAGAAGTAGCTTTATGAACAGAGAAGTAACGAAGTGGTGGTGCTAGGTAACAGGAAGCAGCAGGAAGGTTTGGTGCGGCTGGGACAAGTGTCGCAGGGTGCTCCAGGAGTAGCAGTTCAGACATGTTGCTGACAGCTGCCTCAGACAACCCAAAGGAAGGGACAGAAGCGAGTTAGAGCACTGCCGGGGCTTGGAAACAGAGAAAGGCAAGGAGACAGGGCAAGTTATTGAGGAACTGCGAAAATCTTAAGGTCTATTTTGACTAGAAAGGGGATAATGTGAAAAATAAGCAAAAAGATTTCCAAGGAAATCTTGATGCAATAAGATATGCCAGGGAATTCCCAAGCACATGTATACCTGGCAAGTATTCTGCAGGGGACTGAATTAAAAAAAAAAAAATCAAGCAATAGATCAAATCTAGAAATAAGTGCTGTTAGATTTAATTCAAGGAAATTATTGTGCTTATTTAAAGAATCATCTGACACGTTTTAAAAATTATTAAATAATTCACTTAAGTCAAATATGAGCTGTCCATTAACATGGAAGTATTGATACAGATGCTTATAAAGTTCTAAGAGATGGACCAAACAGCAAGGCTGACTTCAACACAAGGCTATAAGGCAGACTAATTTCAATGTCAGCTATTACTCATCTTCCCAATTACTACAATCAAGCATTTGCTTGGCTGGAAAGAAGAATTGTCATTGCTAAACCTTGCTAGCGAAGCCCAGGACTGCCCACGCCCCTTCGGACTACCTGCTAGATCACAGGCGTGTAGAGGGGAACCTGTAGGTACCTTCCCAAGCTACTGGTCAGGATACCTCCACAAGTCAGGTGTAGTCACGCTCGAGAGGCCGGTAACACTCACTTGTTCATACGCGTAGAGTAATGTGGCTACGGTCGATCTAACCTGAGAGGTCTAACTGCCGTCTTGAACAAGCAGCCAGGAAGGGTGGAGAGGAGAGAGCAAAGCTGAAGTTTCTAAGTTCAATCTCCAAGAATTTAAAATTTATTTAAAAACAAATAAAATCCTTCCATCTGAAATTACCTGAAATAGACAAAACTTAACATACTGCAAATAGGATTTTATTTACTATGCCAAAACCCTGATGGGAGTAAAAATACACTGGAATATTTTAATACTAGATTATAACAAGCTTCACTAGAGGGGCAAATCTAACCAAATATGCACAAAGTCTCTTTCTGAAAGACAAGGAGTTAGTGACTAAGGAAGGGCAGGATCCTAGGTTGTTGCCAAGTGTTTAGCTTAGCAGTTAAGATCTCATCCTCCAATATCAGAAATACTTCGCTATATTCTAAACCTATCTAATCTGTATTACTTGTAATACAGGAACTTTCTTCTGAAGTCAAGTTCTAGCATCTTCTAACCAGTTTTACACACACAGTACATGAACAAGGATCAAAATATTAAAATGCAGATCCACCTTTCAATAATGTAACAGAATGAAGAATTTAGCTTATGACTGCTGTCATAACAAACTGCACTGCTCTAGTTTGGTATGTTTGGGGACAGGAGTTGTGGGCCCTGGGGCCTGGTTCAAGTCCTGGCTACTCAGGCTACTACCTGTGCTTGGGAGGCAGTGGACAGCAGCGCAAGCATGAGATTCCTGCCAGCTACAGGGAGAGGATTTAATGCCAGGATTCCTGGCTCCAGCATGGCCTAATTCTGCTGTGTTTAGGGATCAAACCAGGGGAAGAACACTTTTCTTTACACCCATATCTGCAGTCTCTCCCTTCCTATCTCTCAAAATCAAGTCTTGTCTTCAAGAAAGCACATTCAGAAAATACAGTTAAAGAAATATAGATGGGGCCCGGCGCGGTGGCGCAAGTGGTTAAAGGTCCTCGCCTTGCACGCCCGGGATCCCATATGGGCGCCGGTTCTAATCCCGGCAGCCCCGCTTCCCTTCCAGCTCCCTGCCTGTGGCCTGGGAAAGCAGTCGAGGACGGCCCAAAGCTTTGGGACCCTGCACCCACGTGGGAGACCCGGAAGAGGCTCCTGGCTTCGGATCGGCATAGTATCGGCCCGTTGCGCTCACTTGGGGAGTGAATCATCGGACGGAAGATCTTCCTCTCTGTCTCTCCTCTCTGTATATCCGCCTTTCCAATACAAAAATAATAAAAAAATAAATAAATAAAAAATAAATAAATCTAAAAAAAAGAAATATAGATGAAATTTCAAATACAAGCAGCTTATGAAATGAGGAAGAACCCACTTTTCTAGCCCAGCTGAAGTTGTCCAACAGGGGACTACTAATACTTCTGAAAACACACCAACAAAATCTCAACCTCCAATAACCACATTCTACAACATGGGCTCTGTTTACACAGCAGACTCAAACACCCTTCTCTTCATAGCAGTTTACCTTGGATTATTAAGAGGCAGAACCAGAAATATCTTGACCTGAACACCTTCAACTCAACAAGTCCCAGGAAAAGCCCCACCCTTTTAAATTAGCAGTATTTATCTCATGCAAACAGAGAATACATGTGACTGCCATCCAAATATACTTAGACATACACTGAACTTTTTCAGCTACAGAATTCCTTACACAAAGACAAGGAAAATGCTGGGCCCAGGGCGATGGCTCAATTAACTAAATCCTGGCCTTTTATGTGCAGGGATCTCATGAGTGCCAGTTCGTGTCCCGGCTGCTTTGCTTCCCACCCAGCTCCCTGCTTGTGGCCTGGGAAAGCAGCAGATGACGGTCCCAAAGCCTTGGGATCCTGCATCCATGCACATAAAGAACACACAAAACTGAAGTTCCTGGTTCCAGCCTCCTGGCTTCGGCCTGGCTCAGCCTCAACTGTCGCAGGCATTTAAAGTGCAAACCAGGCAATGAAATTTGTGTTCTCTCTCTCTCTCTCCCCCAAAAAAGCAAGAAAGCAGGAAAACCTTAGAACTTGACACTTTTCTAGAGATTTATATCTTCAACAGCTCCCTAAATCTAAGCTGTACCACCCAATATTATGCAGTATATATATAGCTCTTGTTGCAAGAGGGATACTCAATTATCAGCATTTCCATGTGTTATATACACCAGTGGCGATATCAGAGATGACATACATAGAACACAGGCAAATAAATGCCTTTTTAAACAGTGGACCTGGCCTGATGGCCTAGTGGCTAAATTCTGGCCTTGCATGCACCAGGATCCCGCATGGGCACCAGCCCATGTCCCAGATGCTCTATTTCCCATCCAACTCCCTGTCTGCGGCCTGGGCTGAAAAACTTCTACATTTTACTGAAACTGAGATGCCTTTGAATTCAAGGCACACTGTTAAATTTATGCAGGATGGAATGTTGTAGCACAGCACATACAGCCACTGCTTGGGACACGTACAGCAAAATAAAGTGGTACAAGTCCCAACTACTCCTCACTTCAAATCCAGCCTCCTGCTAGTGTAACTGAGACAACCAATGACGGAAGTATCTGGGTCACCACCATCCACCCAGGAAATCCCAATAGTGTTTCTGGTTAATTTTCAGTGCTTTGTGGACATTTGGGAAGCAGATGAAACACTTTCTCATTCTCCAGCCCTGTTATGCTGCCTTTCAAATCAACCTTTTTAAAAGATGTACACGGCACTGGGAAGCCTTGCCAAATAAACTGTAGCAGGAGACTTTAAAACATTCCTATTTGGTATACAAACACTACAATAAAATCATGCAGGTAAGACATCAACTGGTTTGATACTGCCCCCATGTGCTATAATAAATTCATCATAAACCGCTTACTACCATTTT